TTCAGAGGGCTTTTCAGTTCAGGAAGCTACTGCTTTAATTGTGCAACCAGAGGAAGTGATTGAACCTCCCCGCCCCCAGGTCCGCGCGCACAGGGAAGCACCTTTATTACCAAGAACAAGGGCATTACCGAAATGCGGTGCATGTGGAAATCAGAGCCATATAAGAGATGCATGTCCAGATAGACCTAGAATTTAGCTGATTGAATTTGATGGAGTTTTGGTTGAAATAAATGCGTTTAAAATTAATAGGCTGGATGGGGTGGTCAGCTCGCTTGGGAATTACGTTAATTAACAGTGCCTAGGTGGGTGCCTGAACCCGAAGGATATGCCTTGATAGTTACCTTTCTCGTCTTATATACCGTCTACAGGTTTGTCTTGATGGCTAATTTAAGCCTCATCCGACATTATGTAGCCTCAATAATGCAAACGAGTCAGTTTTCTTCTCATATTAACTAGAAATCCAAAAAAGCGTCTCGCATTAAATGTCTCTAGAGTTCCCCAGCGTAAGTAATTCAAACTGGGGAAGCATGCAACCCATATGTGCATTTTTTTTTGCGTTCCGCTGAGCCGGCGTGAAGGTGTCTTACTGCGAAGTCCCAAGGGTTCTCTAAAGTAATTTAAAGTGGGCCAAGACCTCACGCTGTGCCTGGATCTGTTTCACTAGGATTGTCTCGATGTTAGTCCCCGGTGATGTTATGTTCAGCTCAATAGAAAATGGACTATCAAGTTGACAAAGCTGGAGTCACTACAGTACGTATCAATTCCTTAAGCACATTAAATATACCCGGACTTTGAAGTATATGGCCGGCTTTGCTGTAAAAGTTAAGAAATGAGGTTTCATGACGTGAATTTATCTTTAGGTGCCGCAAGTAACCTCGGATTGCTTTCATAATGATTATAAACCATCAGACCCCTCTTTAGAAAGAGCGCTGCCATCCGGGGACAAAAGGAAGAAGAAAATCACGGCTCTGAGCTACCCGTGACCCGGTGGACACTACTCCTCGAGCGCAAATCGCAAGAACGCGGGATAGGTTGTAGCCACCGAGTCCAAGCCACCGCCCCATGCCAGTATTCCGGCCACGGTAATTTCCCATTTCTCCAGACATCATCTGATTTTTTTGCGGGGACGGTAATGGCTAGTTCCAAGGCACAGGTACCCATCAGTGACACCATAGAGAAGCAAAAAATCACACCAACGAACTTTATAAGGCATCCGAAGTATCGCCGGCGAGTACGACACACATTACTGAAGATGCCGGCTATTCCGTCACCGATGAAGTCGCCGAGTGGGATGAGTGGGATGCCCACTAGCCAAGTATAGATGCCAAGGCGTTGATCATTATGGAATTGTCTCGTGATGCCAAGGTTGGCATCCCTGGAACATGTTACCCAAATTCTGTCAAGGTTCCAAAGGTTACTCCTCGTATTTGCTTTGCAGGTCCCGGAGGGAAGGCAGGCCGACAGGTGCTGAGAAAACTGAGCTAGAGAGTTAATATGCGTCATGCGTGCACAGACTGTTTACGCTTGCATGGATGAAGAAATTTCCCCAGAAAGAGGATTGTGGGGTCCCCACGGGAATGCCAAGACCTCTCGGTAGAACTCCGGCTACTTGCCTCGGAAATCTTCCAAACTTTGAAGGATGTACGGAGTGCTTACTGTGACGACCTCGAAAGGGTAATTCAATATGAGGACTCAAATGGGCAGATTAGGTGTATTATCTCCTCGGACAAGAATCCTCTTCATCAAAGGTGATGAAAAACTCGTTTTGCACGTTTTGAGCCGTCTCACCTATATACTCCAGCCGCAAAACCTTAAAGTAGAAACTATCCCCCAAAAAATTCAACGAGAGGGTCTAAAATTCTCAAAATGTTTTTCAGAAAAAGGTCACCAAAGAGGCGGTTAAGGAACATTCCATAGCCTCGGGGCCCAATCATCATTCCGTAACGTCACCGGTAGAACCCCGGAAAATTTGGGGTTCCCCATACGGAGTACAGCCCCACTAGGTCACTTATCCCCGGAGATGAGTTGCTGGTCATGAATTGCAGGCTATAAAAAGGAGTGAATATCCCAGGATTGCACTTCTAGAGACTCTAACGAAGTTGCGAAATATGGCCCGCGTCGCTCAGTTTGTGGTTTCAGGCCTTTTGGCTGCCACAGTAGCCAATGGCCAGTCATTTGATGGAGCCAGTCGAAGTGAAGATGCTTTCAATTATGTCCAGCCCAAGAACACGACCATTCTGGGCCCTTACGGACACTCCCCTGCCGTCCTTCCTTCGCGTATGTTACTCCTCGATCTTAATTTATACCACTGAACTATTGCTGATTCATGTCACAGCAAATGCTACTGCTTCAGGTGACTGGGAGGAAGCCTACGCTAAAGCCCGAAAGTTTGTCGCCAAGCTGACTATCGATGAGAAAGCCGACATGGTCACTGGCCAGCCTGGGCCTTGTGTGGGAAACATTGTTGCTATCCCACGACTCGGATTCCCAGGCCTCTGCCTACAGGACGGCCCCTTGTCAATCCGTGTAGCCGACTATGCTAGCGTTTTTGCTGCTGGTGTGACCGTAGCGTCCACTTGGGATCGCGATCTCCTCTATGAACGAGGTTACGCCATGGGACAGGAGTTCAAGGCTAAGGGTGCTCACATCGCCCTCAGCCCTGTGGCCGGCCCACTCGGCCGCTCTGCCTACGCAGGCCGAAACTGGGAAGGCTTTGCTGCTGATCCTTACTTGACTGGTGTCGCCATGGAAAGGACTATTCGCGGCCACCAAGACGCTGGTGTCCAAGCCACGGCGAAGCACTTCATCGGTAACGAGCAGGAGACTCAACGAAACCCTACCTACAACCCCAACGGAACTGTCACGGATGTGATTCAGGAAGCAGTTTCCTCCAACATCGATGACCGAACCATGCATGAGCTGTACCTTTGGCCCTTCGCCAATGCGGTCCGCGCTCAGGCTGCTAGCTTTATGTGCTCTTACCAACGTTTGAATGGTTCTTATACTTGTGAGAACTCCAAGGCACTCAACGGCCTGCTCAAGGAAGAGCTGGGTTTCCAGGGATATGTTATGTCTGACTGGGGTGGCACTCACTCTGGTGTCGCCTCGATCGAGGGTGGTCTCGACATGAACATGCCCGGTGGTCTCGGTCCCTACGGTCTAGTCCCCGAAGCCGGCTCTTTCTTCGGCAAGAACGTGACGCTTGCTGTCAATAACGGAACCGTCGATCAATCTCGTGTCGATGATATGATCGTCCGCATTATGACACCCTACTACTGGCTCGGCCAGGACAAGGACTACCCAGAGGTGGACCCCTCGTCCGCTGACCTGAACACATTCTCTCCACGCTCAACCTGGCTCCGCGAGTTCAATCTTACCGGCGAGCGAAGCCGTGATGTCCGTGGAGATCACGCTAAGCTGATCCGCAAGCTCGCAGCTGAAGCGACCGTGTTGCTGAAGAACGAAAAGCAGGCTTTGCCCTTGAAGGCTCCTAAGAATATCGCTGTCTTCGGCAACGATGCCGGCGAGAACACAATGGGCGCCGTGAACCAGGCGACGTTCGAATTCGGTAACCTCGCTTCTGGCGGTGGCTCAGGTACCGGACGCTTTACCTATCTTGTCTCCCCACTTGAGGCAATCAAGGCCCGCGCCAAGAAGGACAACGCTCTTGTGCAATACTTCTTAAACAACACCCAGATTGCGACCTCGAATGTCACCAGTCTTTGGGTTCCCACCACCCCCGATGCCTGTCTGGTCTTCCTAAAGACCTGGGCCGAAGAGGGCACCGACCGCGAGCACCTGACAGTGGACTACAAGGGCAACGAAGTTGTCGAGTCCGTCGCCAAGTCTTGCAATAACACAATTGTCATCACTCATTCCTCCGGCATCAATGTCATCCCTTGGGCCAACCACCCTAACGTCACCGCCATCGTTGCCGCCCACTACCCCGGCCAGGAAGCCGGTAACTCTATCGTCGATGTCCTCTACGGTGACGTCAATCCCTCTGGCCACCTCCCCTACACAATTGCCAAGAACGCCAGTGACTACAATGCCCCGCCCACCACTGAGGTGTCCACCAACGGCACCTACGACTGGCAATCCTGGTTCGACGAGAAGCTGGAGATCGACTACCGCTACTTTGACGCTAAGAACATCTCCGTGCAGTATGAATTTGGCTTCGGTCTCTCGTATACAACCTTCAACCTCTCCGACCTTAACGCCGAGCCCGTGGCTCACCCCGTCTCCTCCATTCCCGAAGAGCAGCCCATCCAGCCCGGTGGAAACCCCGCTCTATGGGAGACTATCTACAACGTTACCGTCTCCGTTACCAACTCTGGTGATGTCAAGGGTGCTACAGTTCCCCAGCTGTATGTCACCTTCCCAGACAGCACCCCCGAGGGAACACCTCCCAAGCAGCTGCGCGGGTTTGAGAAGGTCTCTCTGGCTGCGGGTGAGTCGCGCACTGTCGGATTTGAGTTGATGCGTAGAGATTTGAGTTATTGGGATGTTGTTTCTCAGAAGTGGCTCATCCCTGAAGGCGAGTTTGTCCTTCGTGTTGGATTTAGCAGTCGCGATTTGAAGGAGGTCACTAAAATTTCTCCCATTTCCGCTTGAAATCTGAATGTATTTTTATGATTGTTGATCAGGTAGCCAGGTATTATATATGAGATATATGAGAAGATTTTGATTTTTGACATCAATTTGTTTTGTTGATTGTGAAAATCAATATTGGGACGTTTCTAGCAATCACGGACCAGATGAAAGGTTACCAACGGCTACAATAGAGACGAGCATATATCTACTGGTGCGGAGACCCTACTACACAGAAACACATATGCGATATTGTTGCTGTCTATATAAGAGAAGGAAACTAACTATAGAATAGTTTCACTGAGGATCGGGGTCTATCATATGTCACAGTGTATTAAAACTAGATGCCCAATTCAAACGGTCCTAGACCAGAGTCCTATAGTACAACACTGCACATAGAGAGTATTCATATGATCTAATATCCAAAGGCGGGAATTTCGACCGAGCAATATTTTGGCAGATCTATGTTCTTTGTTTCGCTTCGCTTAGCCAGATAACTTGTATTGACCACGCTATTATAGCGGTCCTAGTATTTGCCGGAGTTAAATACCATCTTTCTAACCAGGTCTTATGAAATAGCATCCAACATGTAATAAGATCAATAGTTAACCTCTGCTAAGGTTATATTTTAAGGGGGGGTACCCCGGCTTAGCACTAGTAAGACCCCGTCAATTGGGTGCCCTCCGGTCATGACATTTTGCTGATTGGTTATGACGTTTCTTATCCGTTATAACAATGGCCCCAATGGGTATGATCACCAGCAATCTTTTCCCACAGGTGGCTAGTTGCTAAGGGGTACAACCGAACGAGAGACGAAGTGCCAGATTTCAGTTGTGGGGGCCATGTTGTGATGTGATATTTTGATAGGACGAATAGCTTCGTATAGCACAGAAAAATCTCATCATTTAGAACTTTGCAAGAATCGCAAGAACCCCCTCCCTTATAGCGGGTTTCCAAATCACCATTTTGCTCAAAGTTATGGGAGAAATTGTTGGCGGCCTGAGGCTCTGCAAGATTCGACAAGAGACTCCAAAAGGCCCACCAATAAGCACATGACAAGGCCGACTATTGTTGACTAGTTGGCTAAAATGACTGAAAGTAAGTTGATAACAAATGTCTCGCTGAATACAATAGTCCATTTTTGCATATATTACAAGACTATAGAGCCCTTCAATTACCAAACAAAAATCGTTTCCGACTCCTTCCCATCTATTTACCAGGACATAAAATTAGCTGAATTATCAAGTCCAACCACATACGGTGGTTGATCTAGGGCCGGTTGAGCTGTTCACGGCGATAGAAGAGAAGGAAACCAAAGCTACAATCACAGTTAGTACACCATAAGATGAGTGTTGGGGGTAATGACGGACCTAGCCAGAAGCTGGAAGAAAAGGGCAATCCAGAACCACGCATTGCCAACGGCACTTAACGACGATCCAATAGCTGGAGAGATGTCTCCTGGGCCGATCTTGTTTGGTGCAAATCCACGAGCACAGATAGTGGCGATAGATCCAAGAGCTTGCGCGGCCAACAGAACGAAAACGACGTGCACTCTTGTCAAAGTCTGAAGGAGAATCATTCCCAAACCGACTTGTTGGATCTCATCAAGAACACCGAGCCAGAGCCAAAGACAGCGGGACGCAATAGCACCAGAAGTCAACCCCCCTGCCCATGGAAGATAGTAGCCGATATTAGATGTTCCCCACCATGTTTGCGCCCATCGCGGTGCACCAATGCTCAAACCAAAGACAGGCAAGATCCAACTGTGTTCCTTAGACAAGTAGCGGAAGAGGAGCATCACAGCGACCCAGACAAGAACAAAGAAGAAGATGATCAGGAGAGTGACTTCCCATGTTTTCGTGTGTTGAGAAGTCCAGAGGAAGGACCAGTTGCGACCGAATGCCGCGGATAGGAACCAGTTCTGGATGATGACCATGAAGAAGAACCAGAGGACGATTCGACGACGGAAGAGGGAGGTGTAGAAGAAGAGGATCTTTCCAGGTGCTTGGCGGTAGTACTTGGGCAAGCCAAGGGCAAGCAGTACACCGATAATGAAACAAACTGCGGCAATAGGCATTACCACGGCCGTGAGTTTCCATGAATTCAGGGCAACCTTGGAAACACCTCCCACTTCCGCTGAAGTGACTCTGGAGCTCCAGTACCACAGCGCAACAGTGTAGAGCTGTGAAATTCCCTGGATGAGGCCTGCGCGGAACATCCAATCCTTCACGGGGACGGCACCTTGATCACCAAAGTTGAGAGCGAAGAACAATGAACCACTGGAAGATGCTGCGGCATAGACACCTGCGGCGACATTCTGAGCCCATGATTGACCAAGATCCGAGAGTGCGAACGGAGAAACTCCAATGGTGACGAATGCCATGGAATATATGAACCAGGGGAGAGTGAGCACTATCACAGCCGGGAACCGGAAAAACAGGCACCACCAGGCAATGGAAGAGACGCAGTAAATTGCTGCGATAACGTAGAGCTTGACTGCGGTCTCACCAATCTGGCCAGCCAACAGGGTGATCTGTGCAGAGTTCGTTGCGATAATCTGTCCTAGACCCAAGAAGAGAGCATAGACAGGCCAGTTTCCGACGCGCCATCTCATGAAGCGCTGGATGGCTATGGGTCTCTTATATCCCAGACGAGAGAGCCACTGATCAATTTCATCTGTGTTGTGCGCATCCGACTGTTCAGAACCTTCTGTGACGAGATTGTACGGTGTGTTCTCGACAGTGTTGTTTATGCCAGCTCCAGTGGGACGTTCTTTGGGCTGCTTCTTCAACTGCGCGTCGTTGTACATGTAGAAGAACTTCCGCTCGCTCTTCATCAAATAAAGCTCGATACAATAATCTGAGATTGAGTTTTTCTTGTTGAGGTCGGTGAGCAGGTTTTCGAAATTCCGCGTGAAGTGGCCCATGCTGTCTGTGAATGTCGGGTCGACCTTTTGCAGATGGAAGTTGGGTTGATCATGGTCGTTAACAACAGAAGGCAAGGAGAGAACAGAAATATTCCGGCCCTCTTGAGCAAAAGGTGTAGCTGGATCAGAAAAGTCACGAGCTAGTCTCACTGGCGAGGAGTCCCTTGAGAGGAACCGAGATGACTCAGAGGCCGACGAGCTAGACCCAGCACGAGAGTGATCTCTGTTTCTGGGGTGTGTTGCAATATCCTGGAGAGGTAGATTGACGGCCGCCATGGCCTCTTCTTGAGTAATCAAGTTCTCCTGGGGTGTAGCAAAGCCGTCATCGTCAGCGTCTGTGGTCTCACCGTCGACGGGTTCAAGCATCTGACTGTCGCGCCGTGGTTTCTTGGACAGGCGCTTTCTGCCATGTCCGGGTCCAGATCGTCGACCGAGCGATAAATTGCGATTTAACGTGCTGCCTCTGCTGTTTTCGGCTGCTTGCATTTCTTGGGCCTCGACAGCCTGCAGCTGTAGAAGGGAAGGCTGGGTGGGCTGCGGGCCTCTCCCTGGTGGCGCATCCAAAGCCCCGGACAATGTCTGGTATGATGAAGGTCGGGTGATCATTCCGGAGTCCCGCAAGCCTGGTGTCTCCCAGTAGATCTGGGACTCTCGAGCCGAGTGTGCAACGGTGAGTTGATTCTTTTGGTGATGGATGTGGATAGCAGTCCGTTGCAAAACTTCGAGCTTCTGAACCCACTCGAGAACGGGGAATCGCTGTTTGGCAGAATTTGCACGCATTTCTTGTCGGGTCTCTGGTGATGAATCCAAGGCAGATTTGATGGCTGTTCTCAACTGGTGCAAAAGATGGCGGGCCGAGTCGGATTCCACAGTGTACCACCATCCAGGCATCTGGCCTAGACCTCCGATGCGAGAACCAATTCCAAGTGCACCCTTACGACCAAACTCAACGGCAATCAGTCCGAAGGGCTCGTCACGAGATGGGATCAGAGCGAAGTCGGCACCAGAGAACACGAAGGGGGGAAGGACCGTAAACTCTGGCTTTGAGAAGACACGACCTGGGAACATCTGCATGATTCGCTCCAATTTGATAGCAGCTAGCTTTCCATAAAGATCGATGATGGGGCCAATACAGATCAGCTGAACATTAGGTCTTTCAGATAAGACAGCCGGCATAACATCCGCAATCAAGTCGACACCCTTTTGCTTCGACCATCTTCCCACGAACACCAGTAAGTCAGCGTTGGGGTCTTCATTCAAGCCAGCCCATTTCTGTGCCTGGACTTTATCCTGGATTTTGTCGTCGATCGACTCGTTAGCAGACTGGACCGTAATTTGCACGTCGGTTTCTTTCTTCAAAGCGCCCGTGTCGGAGGGATCTGGATTGGGAAGACTCCCAATCTTGGCAAGACTCCAAAAGATTGGATAACGAGCCCATGAGCGCTTTCCGTATTTCTCAGACACACCTACTGCACCGAAGCCGCGTTGATGGAATCGCAAGTAGCTAGCGCCGGTGTGAAGCAGGTTGAAAACGTTGCCAAACTGACAATATTTGGTCGCTACTTCAACCGGGATATTGAAGACAGAACAAACTTCTTTCTTCTCCTGTGAGGTTCTCAGAGCCCAAAGACCTTGGAACTCTGCGTTGTGCAAGGATAAGCAGACCGGGATGGTTCGCGACGGGAGCAGATAAAGCGGTGCCAGACAGCCATGGAAGTCGTTGATATGGTAGAGATCAATGGAGGGTGTTCGGTTCATTACCTCTGCGATGCACTGATTCCAGGCCGAATAGTAAATCGCACTGTCAAGGTCATCCATACGAGGAGGGTAAGGCTCCGCCTTGGTCTGCTGTCGGAAAACCGGGGCATCAAGGAGGACGTAGGTGATGTTATCGACGACGTGATACTGTACCTCAACCGAATAGGGATGATCTAGGATCGTCACCACGAAAGGCTCAGTAGGTGTATCCACGGGGTAATCAATATCACCGACACAAGGAACCACCCAGATGAGATTCTGATGTTTCAAATTCTGTGACATGAGCTGCGCCATTACTCCTAGACCACCAATCTTGACTTTGACCTGCCAGTCCTGGATATCGTACTCCATAGTAGCAATCAATACGGTGCGTCGCTGGTCGCTCGCTCCTGCCAGAGCCATGTTCGTTGGCACAGCCTTTTCAACCATATTTATCTCCTCGACATCATCATTTTGGGCGAACGTTCCTTTGAGTCTGCGCCAAAACAGTACCGGGAATTTGTCGGCCTTGGTAACATTTCCATCTTTGTTGAGTTTGACGCGGTAGAAGTTTCCGATAAAGATGAAGACACCAGCCAAGCCCATAAGAATCGGAACAACCCACAGAAGAACATAGAGGACCAGTTGTGCCCATCCCGATCCAACGGGGATCAGTTGGTATCTTAGGTTGCCATCGTTGAGGGAGATGGTCCAGCCAAGATGCGGGAATGGCGGCAGGGTAGTAATGTTGATGACGTTGGATGCGAGATAGGACGGAGGAAGCTTTTGGACTGAAGACGAGTTGCCGACATCACCGTAGACTTCGGTATTATCAGGATTTCCGTTACCGTCCGAACCCCAAACATTAAGCTGGCCCACGGCCGGCCATTCGTAGACAAAGTCGTAGTTCCAGCGAGACGTTTTGGAATCGAACTTCATCTTGCTGTCCATTCCTGCATCATAGCCGTATTGATTGTATGGACCGTTGAACCACAGGTGCGGAAATCTTCGGACTCTATCGCTCGCATGATCACCTTCCTGGAGGTAATCACTGCTTCCAGTGAGCCTTGAAAAGTACTGCACTCGTACGTGAGTTCCTTCCCACTTCTGGGAGTGCGTGCCAGTCCACTTCGGAATGTTGACAGTCGTGTTGCCACCTGAATACGTCGCCCAGTCGTTCCAGCTCCGACCGAAATCAGAAGAGTATCGGAACATGTCTGCACCGGCAGCCCTGTGCTGGATATAAAAATCGTCGTTGCTCTTGTGGACTAGGCTGGAAGAGTAGTTGGCAAGCGGAGAAATCAGAGGATTGTCATGAGCGCCGAGGCGGAGCAGGAACCGGTCGGTTGAATTGGTATAAACTCCAGAAGAGGACACATTTTTGACGGTCAGTTGGTGGATTCCGTGGTGCACTTTTTTCAGGTTTGCAGACCATGTCCAAACAGTCGGGATTTCTCCGGTGAAGGCATGGCTCGTGGTCCTGGCAGGGATTTTGGTGCAGTTAACGCTAGACGTGTCAAGCTCGGCGGTGATGTTCTTCTCCGTTGTAGAATTCAGGTAAACTGCCTTTGTGATGCTGTCACAGTCCATCTCTGTAGAATATCCAAGCTGAACAGGCAGAATTTCACCCGTGTCTTCTGAAGATAACAACCGAGCATCATGTCCCGGGAAGAAGTCGGTGACGGTAGGTCCGGGCTCAATGAAGTTGGCGCTCTTGACATAGGCCCGGTATTCCCATGGAAGCAGGTCCATTTTACGGACGCATCCATGGGTGTTGTTGGACCCTCCGGGACCATCTTCCAAAGTAAGCTCATCGTAAGGATAGAAGAGATTCTTCAATTTTGTCCCTGATACAAATGGTGCCAACAAGGATGTATTTTTATCACTGCAGTTACCTCCGTATGTTTCGGTCGAGTTTCCGTTTTGATACACAAGCCAGAGAGTTTCGTTGGCTAGGATTGCGTCCGTTTGTACCCCGGGGAAATAGCTTCGCAAGACCGACCAAAGACCAGTGACCGTGGGGGTGGTAGAAGAACCAGGAAGGTAGATGTCTTTTGTGAGTTGAGAGAGTGTTTCGAGGTATAAGCCGTCCTGTGCGACTGGGTAATGGGCTCGAATCTCGAACATTCGCTTCATGATGTTGCGGAGTGGATGGGCCGGATTCCGTTGGTCATACGTGACCGTGATGTCATTGCAACCATCGCGTCCCTTTTCGATAGGAAAATCGTAGAACTTTGATGTATTCAGGTTGAAGCAGCCTTGTGTCCACCATGCGGTCTGATACGTCATGGGCTGCCGGCCGAACATGTAGTTCGATGCAGTAGCGTCGAACACGTACATTTCCTGCTCTTCTCCCCACAAGACGAGAGGGATTCCAGGAAGCTCCAGCGTGATGATATATAACCCCAGGAGGTATTTGGCTGTGCCATTCTGAAGAGCTGGCCAGCGGAAATTATCCTGGTTTGAGACACCATACATGTGCCTAGGATCGATTTTCCCTGTAAAAGCATTAAGGAAATCGTTGGTAATGAGCATCTGATTCCAGGCTTCAATGAAGTCGGTAGGTAGGTCAAAGCCGGCAACCAGGTTACCGTCCAAGCCCAGGAAGCGGGTCATCGAACGATAGATGGTGTAATGAAATGCGGAGCCATCCAAAGCTTGCAACCCATCTTCTCTAAGGAAAGCCGACTCCGAAGTGTTCGTAATCTTGACACCCGCGCCTGCATTGGCCGTGCGCTGATTTGGCTGGCGACCGCGACCGAGGTAGAGACTGCCGAAGCTATCTCCGGACGTAATCTCGCCGGGGAGAAAGAAATTCTTCTTGCCAAGTTTCACCGCGCATTTACGGTAGACGGCAAGCATCTCACTCAGGGGCTCGAGAGTCGCTTGCACAGACTTGTCAAAGCGGAAACCGTCGATATCCAGACTCGCGATCTGAAGGCAGGAATGTTGAGTGATCACATCGCGAACCGGCTTGTGCCATTCACGCAGGCGATCCTGCACGGAGGCGAACTTGGTAAGTTGACGCTGCCAGTCGGGGAAGTTACCGAATGCCTCTAACTCTCCATATTGATCAAAATCGCTGTTGTAGCAACCCTTTAAATTTTGAACTCCCTGGTCTGTTAATGGGTATCCAGTCTCTTCCCAGAACTTTGGATAGTTGCAAGTTTCGTTATAGTCGTTACCGAATTTGAAGTCGACGTATTCTCTGTCGGTAACCCATTGAACTTCATATTCTGATGCTTTGAAATCGGCGGAGTCGTTCAGATGGCCTTTGAATCCGATCAAGTTGCTCATTCTGCGTGTGTTACAATCAGCTCATAAGCACCCGACAATCAGGAGCATCCACTTACGTTGCCAGTGTGTTATCTACCACAATATACATGTTCCGCTTATGAATCTCGTCAACGGCTCGCCTCCAGTCCTCCAGTGTTCCGTAATGCATGTCGAGGAGAGTGGTATCGACCGGCGAGTACCCATCGTAGGCCCAGGGTAAGTTCATCATGTACGTTCCGGCAAAATAGATGACCTTGTGGGGTTAGCGATAGAGTCTTTCTGAAAATCGGATCAACTCACCTTGAATCCCATTCCCTCAATATAATCCAGTGTATCTATCAGGCCTTCCAAATCACCACCGTGGCGCATCTGATTAGAGTTGAGGACATGCTCAAACGCGGTGCCGTTGATATTGTCATTTTGGGGATCTCCGTTGGATATACGGTCCAAAAAGATTGTGTATGTAGGCATGCGCCAGTTCTCTGGCGATGGATGATATTCATGGTCCGGCCATGCTCCCCAATAATCGATTGGGCCTTCGGCAGACTTATTTTCGTTCAGATTGTATTTAACAAGTGGTTCGTCATAGGGCCAACACAAGGCAACGCTCAGAAACGAGAGTGTGAGGAACGCTGAGCGCCGCATTTCCGTCTATATTACTGTTTTCAGCAGTAACCTGCCGCCGGAAAGATGCGCGACTCAGGAACGAATGAAATGAGTTTTTGGCGAATAGCGAGAGTGAGATGAGTGAAAGAACAAAAAATCAACGGAAACAAGCCTCTAGCATTTTGCTGATTTCAAAGATTTTGCAAAATGCCCTTAAGTTTTTTTTTTTTTTTATTTTTCGTATGGAGAAACGCTTATCGGGCTGAACGGATGGGCTATACACATAGTCCCCATCCACTTCTGCAAGACCCACGGTAACCCACCCAGTCAGATTTTATCCATCTACCAACTTTTCGCCTTCGCGTGGCTGGTTTTTGGTTCGATGTCTCAGATAGATCCAAGGAATTCTAGGTATTTCCTTGGTAATAATTAACAAGCGACCTTGTGATACTAGTGCGCTTAATCTAAACACTGTCACTTATGTTGTATGTGTTATGCACTGTGTTATTTCAAGTTCATGGGCTCATCGAGGTGGTTATGCAAAGTGCAGTTCTTAGGCACACTGCATCAGCACGCCAATGTGGCTAGCGAATAAGTGCGTCTTGGGTCAAAGCACATCCTTTGTCTCTTTTCACATTCAAACTGCATCATGCAATGCAACTGATAGTTCTAGACCCTTATGTTTGCAAGAAATTCAAAGGCTGGAAAAAAGGAAACTATTCCATTCCACCAATTCTACCCAATTCTCACCGGTTTATCCTGACTTTTCGAATCGGTCAAGGTGAGTACACATTATAGTGGGGGGGTTATCTATTTCGGGTCCACCCGCCTTTGACGTCAGCTCTTTCAGCCAAAAATGGCCGATGTGAATCAGGGTGAAAACAGTCCGTTCTAAGATCTTTCTCTTCTCTTTGATACATTCTCTTAAACTCGCTAAAGCCCGATGTGTTTCCTTGCCCTGATTCAAATCTGATCTCCCGTGTCTTAGATACGAATCCACTATATGGAGTTCACATGTTGTAACGATTCTGTCACCGTCTCGCAATCCCGTCCCATTGATTTTTGTGCCAGTATTCCAATGTGAAGGTTCGACAGAATCACCGGTATTTTTGGATATTAAGCATGATCCCTTGTTTGGTGAATTTTTTGTTGGCCGCGCTAAGGCGTGTAAAAAAAACACATTGTGATCATGGCATGCGTGGCCTAGACGTTACACAGATGCATGGCTTCAACGTCCCTGTCGCATTCTTGACCTTATTCGGACAGCTTATCTGAAGCTTGTTTATTGCATAAGTCTATATGGTAATATTAAGCGAGTATATAGTGCTGCTGGTAGGTACATCCATACAAAGTACGGAGTAGATACATGACGACCTGATACGGAATGTGCCAAGAGTGACAGCTTAAACATACGCATGTGCTAGCGGTACTAAAAATAGGTGAAGGCGATAAAACCAGTGTTTGGATCGTCCAACAGATATGATTTGATGTCTTGTTTTGAGTGCCCCATACAGAGTGGATCGGGATTAGCATGACACTCTTACCGCCATTCAGAAACACGCTAGGGCAAGTGGGCGTTGGCTTAGTTCCAAATATCCTCATACAAAGTGTATTGTAAAAATGTCTTATGCCACGCTAGAGCCTCTAAAGAGGATTCTCGTGGCAACCCTACCAATGCCTACCGAGTGTTGGTGGGTAGCGGATAGCATTGTGTCATCGGATAGAAAAAAAAAATTCAAGGATACACTGTCCTTTGTGGAGGTAGCTTTCGTATAGAAATGGTACATAAAATTTCATTATACCCGATTGAGTCAAAGCGTCAATTTTCATAATCCTCAAAACAGTTGGGGAGGATGCAGGGATATAAATATTGTACAACATAAGTGTTTGATCACTGTCAAGGTTTGCTTGGCAAGAATGATCAAGTACAACATACAGGGGTATGTTCGAAGCGAGAGAGTGATCGAACTTTGACATATAATGTTGATCTGTGGAGTCTTCCAAGCTGATACTTGCACTTATCTACATCCTAGCTTACAATGAATCTTGGTAGATCGATTAAATTTCTTCAGGCTAATTTGAGATTTAGGAAAACTCGATGTGGTTATGTGGTTTTTGCGTACTCTTTGTATGGAGATGCAATACAAAAGATACCTAATCTCTACAGTAAGTGCGGAGTACCTAGTGAGAATTTCCCAACGATCCGGTGGTGCCCGTAGGTGTTCCAAGGTCGGTGGACTTGCCACGATTACTTGATCATTGCTTTGCCCCCCCCCCCTATGAGCTGACCAATGAGCCGAGTTGGGGAATGATCCATTGTTTTCTGCCTTGTTTGGGTCGCGGGCTATTTTAAATCGGTTCCACATTAATCTGTCTTACTCTTCAGTTCAAGTGCCTTGGCATTTCAAGTATCAATGTCTTGCCTCGCGTAGTGGCGGAAGTGCTTACGATTCGATGTTCAAAGCAATTAGATTGAGGGGTACAAAAACCCACGCTGCAACTTAACACCCGGATATTCACAGCGGTGCTAGCAGACACAAATGCATGTGGCTTGTCTGTTGTTCTATCCTACAAGTCGCAGTGCTCTCTGAGGGGCACGCTATAATATTCCACAAGCGAACCTGCCAACCCTCGACACGTACAACATAGTAAAGATGATAAATTCCCTCCTATTTTCTGAACAACGGTAGTCGGTTTAAACTTTTCCCATTAGCTTAATGCTGTTGAGCTGGTATCAAACTTCCCTACGAAGTTTAAAGGATTTTCCTAACTTGGTGATTGCAATGTGTATATATGTGATTATTTCACAGGTTAGCACCTCTCCGGGTTTTACCATTGAAAGCCAATTTAATCAATCTCAAAGCTCTTGTAAATTCTATCCAAGAAGAATAACACTGATGGATCCATCAAGCCTCAACAATACAATCAATCCCACACCACTCATAAACATGCCCATGGCCTTCATGATAGCTCCCATTATCGACATAGACAGTCCAGTGGTTCCAACCATCTTGGTCATCCAGACATCGGAAGGTAAAATGAAGACCCATTAATTCAATATCAGCGCGCTTACTACAAACTGTGATTATCTCCAACCCTGACTTTCCAGAAAGGTTGTCTTGTGAGCGACTTTCCCAGCTGATTTAGGTGGGCGAAAGAGAATTCCCGTGAATGTTATCAGCGAAAATAAGTAGTCAGATTGGTTGACCATTTGGAAATCCGGCAACCTTCTTCTCAGAACGAGAGTGTTAACCAAGGGATGAGCTGACCTTTATGGCCTCTTTGCTCGCACGATCTGTAAATGTGCATGTTTCATTTGGATGCCTGTAGTGAATTCATGACCGGCCACATATGCCTCGAAGAACTCATCGCTAGCAAAATCAGTTTTGACAAATGATCTTAGGTGCTCTGTATCTAATTCAATACGGCCCTATGCAACGGGCCGGCCCTCAGGTTGGTTGGTACATGGATAGCAGTGATAAATTGCCGCAATGTTCTAAACAGTGACGAAGCTTCCAGCCAAAGTTCCACCCTAAATACTAGTATTCAAGCCCTAGCCAGTCTTGGGAGAGGGACGTTCTTAGCGTTTGTTTATGTCTGCCGACTACCGCCACCCGTGCTGATGCACGATCGGATCATCTCATTCTTCCGGATTACACCCATAACAGTGCACGCTTTGGAATGGACCACGAACAGTTTGCGAATATCGAGGAAATCCATATTTACAACGAGGTTCATCACACTAGCCAAAAGGCGATGAAATGGCAATTCAGGCTCTCCTAGCAACAGAAGATCTTGATTGTGTAGCTGCGTACCCGCAAAATCGACGCAGACTCTTCCAGTCGCCATGCACTTGCTTTAGAATTCTGTTTGCCAGCAGATGAACAACATCCCGCCAATGGCTTCGGATATTCAAGCCAGCGCCTAGAGCTAGGAGAACTAGAAAAGGCGTTCACTTGCCCTAGGCTGTTCGTGCACCAACCACTTATCTGTGGTATTTGCCGAGATACGCGGCCCTAACGAAACTCCCACACCGTTTGACACTAGAAGGCGACTAAACTTCAGATTATGTATGATTCATATACAGACTGTTAGAAGTCACATGACTTCTTTGTTTGCTCCTAGTACTTAGTCTAGCTAAACCTGTAGATAGCTTCTCTCTTCTACAACGCATCCAGAGATCTCCAGTTTCATCTCCAGCTTCATTTGTAGACTGAATATCATCTCTCTCACAGACCCAATCAATGAGCCGATTTGCCAATCTATAGAATTTGCACCCCTTCTAGAGACATTTCTGGAAGACTGGAGTAGCTCGGGGTTCTCGTCGCTCATCGCCGAGGAGAGGGACAGAGACCAGTAGCGAGGAGAACGGACAAAAAGGCCTCATTTGGCATGTGATACTGATAGAAGAATCCAGTTCTTTCGGTAAGAGTAGTAATGATAAGAGGAGTAGTCTCTTACGGATGCACTTTAAAAAAGTAGCATCATTAAGGCGATCAAGGATTCTCTTTGTTGCTATCGAAAATGCGAGGAGGGTATGAGATCTTATTCCTTGTTGGCTTTGAATTTTGCTGTACTACACGAGGCTCAAATTTTTGGCTACACTTGCATATCTTGTGTAGCCTACCAAGACCACTGCCAACATTAATGGCTACGATCTACGAGCTGCAAAAGGAGTTCAATGTTTAATGCGGTAACACACTACTTAGGGTCAACATGCAAGTCTCTACTCGTGGATAAAATGTGAAATTACACGGAATCGATTGCCTCAAATTTCCCAAAGAAAAGTGAGGTGCATAACTGGTTACACTCGACGTAGAAAATGAATTTGCAAGGATTGGTGCCAATTCAAGAAGATCGGATCCCAAGGCCTGCGGACAGTTCTCAATTTGATGGTGCTGTGACCTACTGAAAGGATGCTTGGTACACCTTTCCTCTAGGACTACAGAGACAGTTAGAATAAAGGAAAGTCATAATCAGGTTGAATCTTCGCACTTTCTTCCTAATTTACTTGCCCGCACATGAAAACTCCAGGCTATTTACGCGAAAGATGACACCTCTCGCATTCGACCTCTCCGAGTACCTGCTCTTGTTGATATTTACACTACTTGTCTACAAAGGCACCACGGTTATTTATCACCTATACTTCTCTCCACTAGCCGGGTTTCCAGGTCCACGCTTGGCCGCAGCAACCAGTCTCTATGAGTTTTATTTCGACGTTCTGAAAGGAGGTCAGTTCATGTTCGAGCTTGACCGTTTACACGACAAATATGGACCTGTCCTCCGCATCAATCCTCGTGAGATCCACATTAAGGACCCCGGCTTTTATGATACCGTCTACGGCGGGCCATTAAATAAAAAAGATAAATCGTCTTCGATTACTAATATTGGATTGCCCCTGTCAACCTTTGAGACTGCGCCACATGGTCTTCATCGTGAGCGGAGGAGACTGTTGAGTCCATTCCTTTCAACTCAATCAGTTGCAGCCCTCCAGCCTGTCACCCAAGAAAAGTTGGACCTGTTTTGTGGCCACTTGTCGAGAAGAGTTGGTACGGGAGAGTTTCTCGACTTGCACTCTCTCTCTGCTTCTTTCGCCGCGGACGTGGTGTCGACATATGTGCTTGGCCGCGCGAATTGTTATGGATACTTGGATCGAGTGGAGATAACAGATGAGGGGAAGAAGGGTGTTAACAGCCTCTTTGAAACGATGCTTTTCATCAGGCATCTACCATTCCTATACACCTTAGCACATAAGATTCCTAGCATAGCCGCTTGGTTGTTTCCCACATTTTCTTTTATTCGACAATTCACTGGGGTATCTGTGGTTATGATCTTGCACTTTGAGACATACTAATCGACGATAGAAAATTAATCGAACGGTCGAAGCCGTCCATGCAAACCCGAACGGGGACTCGATGATTTCAACTATTCTCTCCAACAAGAAACTACCTGAGTACGAAAAAGAACTAAAACGACTGCAGGACGAACTGGCGTTTTTGTTCATTGCTGGATCAGATGCACCGACTCAAGTGATGGCAATCACCTTTTTCCACCTTCTTTGGAATCCAGAGACGTGCCAAAAACTCAAAGACGAGTTAGATGAGGCTATTCCCGTTCTGTCTGAAGCGGACTGGACTAAGTTGAAAATTCTTCCCTATCTGGTACGGCAAAAATCAATTCTCTCAGGTCTTTGTAATTTTGACTAATGGCCATAACCAGTCTGCTGTGGTGAAAGAAGGTCTACGACTTTCCGCCGTTGTGACAACAAGGCTTCCGCGTATTGCACCAGATGAAGCTTTGCATTACGGTAAATGGACCATTCCGCCCGGTGTAAGTCTTCCCCAAACTTATGTTTCCTTCTGCTTGGTCCCAAAATCTTGTTACTCGATTAAGATGTTGATGTGTAGACGCCTGTCGGCATGTCCATCCCCTCCATTCTACTAAGCCCCGAAATCTATACCGAGCCATTGAAATTCATCCCAGAGCGCTGGATGGGCCCCGCTGAGGAAGTCCAAGTTCTGGATAAGTTTTTCGTTCCGTTTGCGAAGGGCAACTCAAGTTGCATGGGTCAAAGGTATGTAGCTTCTAGTTTATTCACCACTTCCAAGCGGCACCGAAGCACTGATATATCCTAGTATGACCTACTCGTGGCTACACACAGTGATAGGCACCGTGATACGCAAGTTTCAATTGGAGCTTCACGAGACGGACGAGAAGAATGTTCAAATTGTTCGAGACTGTTTCAATGGACAGACAATTCCTGGGCTCAATGTGATTAACGTCAAGATCACCAAGGAGTTCAACTAGAGTATTCTGTTACAATATAAATCAATAGGCCGTTTTGCGTCTAGGGTCTAAATGCGTTCTTTGCATCTTCTCGGTTGAACATCTATTCTTCCCTGAGCGCTTATTCTTTCAAAAGGATGGAGGCTTTTCTCACACTCAGCATATTTAGATTCTATCTATATGATTACGTTTTGTTCCAAAGAGGAACAGATAAGAACGGCATGGAAGAAAGACTCCGACATGTACTAGTCGACTGGCAACGCTCAACCACAACATCCATCAATTCTTCATCGGCCAAGAGACGATCCTTCATAGAAAGCTTCACCGATACCCACCACAATTCGGGCAAGATGCTAAGGTTCTCGTAGTGAGGCTGGCCATCCGAGAGGAAGATGGTACGGGTATGCTTCAAGGCTTCTCGGCGTGCTGTACTCATGGTGTCGAGGGTCGCAGTAAGTTCGATCTAAATATGTTCAGCTGTTGGGGAGATATGAGGTTTAATTTGGTCGGGAAGTGCGTTTCTGCCTGATGGTAGAGACTAGACGGGGGGTTCCGAGGCTATTTAAATGCGAAGTAGGGGGGACAATGAACATTCCTATCGAGAGTCGTCTTTCACCTACTTGACTAAAGTCTTTCACACCCCTGGGCGTTGTAGCAATGCCTTTTTCTGTCATTTGACTAGGTCCAATTTCTAAATTTTAAGCATATTGAAAAAGGCCTCGAATCTTTTTCACTGCTGATGATTCGATAAGAAATAGTCAAAGATATAGACTTGCTGGGATGAAGTCTCCAGCATGCAACCCTGTGTGAGACGAGGCGAAAAAAAGTCAGTTGATGCGTAAAGGAATACATCATGACAAAGGAGAGCAACGTTAGAAGAATTGTCGATTTGGCATCGTTTTGCACGTTCCCAGCCAAGAAAGGAGCGGAAAAAATACCCAAAAGGGCAAGTATGTTACAGGATATTCAATAGGCCGAGGCCTCTCCAGAACTTCCAATGCTGCCCATTATTCAACATAGTTGGCTGGAAAAGGTCCCTTCTGCCCCCTTAACTCGCCTTCCCACCAATCGTCGGTGCTATCCGTCTTCCGCACGACGCGAATGCGGTCCCCTTCCCGGAAACTCAGGTCGCCATTCCCCTCGCCATCAAAGTCATACAGCGCCGTGACAAACACTGGACGGGAAGCTGCTGGCGGCGGCGGCGGTGGTGGGGGTCTCTTCTTCCCGATGGCGGCGGCCATTGGTGATACCTTGGCCTGGAAAGAGTCTATGTTGGGACCAGCTGGGGATCTCGCGACGCCTGATGGAGTGGGAGTGGCTTGTGGGGTTGGCATGAGTGTCGGACGAGGGGGGTCAAAGTAGTCGCTACCCGTCAAGAGGGGCTCGGATCCTGTGGTGTTTCCCACAGGAATTGCGCTGCTCTTGTGGCCAATGGTTGACAGGGGTGGGGAGGGGGGGGATTCTGGTACACAGGGTGTCTGGCTTGACGATCCTGGTGTTTGTGATCCGCGGCGGAAAGAAGCCGAGAGCGAGGTCGATGAGGCAGTGCTGTGAATGCGATTTCCAATTGAGGGGCGTTTCTTATTCTCCTGGCCGACTGTAGCTCGACGCATGGCCTTGCCTTGGGCCAGGGAACCAAAGTTTTCGATTTCGGCTTGCGTGGGCTTGAAGGCAAACTCCCAGTCTTGAACAACTTTGTCCATGGCTGCTGGCGGGGAAGGGAATCCCTCTTCTTCACAGTAGGTAAGAAGCACCGTGTAATAGTGTGCAAGCATGCGGTTTTGAATCTCAACCTGTGCTTCAAGGATGTATGGCGTCAGGGAGAATATGAGAGCGATCAATGTAGGGAGTCGCTGTCGTAGATCATGGTCGGCAGCTTGGTAAGCCTGGATGGTGATTAGTATCTTTTTTTCTGTGAGCCGTTTTGCGCATCGATTTTTGTACCTCTTTCGCATTGGCAAGTTCGACTTCTGCTTTGGCTAGGTTCACATTTTCGCGATCGGTGCGCTTCGGCTTTTTCATGAGGCTATCAACACGCCCTTGGCAGATTTCAAAGTCGGTCTAAAAATTGGAACATCAGCGATAAACAATCCACCAAGGGCTCTCATTCTTCACTGCATACTTTCCTGTCATTTCGCTTTTTGATCGTTTTTCTCATCGGTGCAAGGGATTCCTTCGCTTGCGCAGCCGGCTGGGACATGCGGGTATCGACAGCACCGAGCTCATCCACGAGGTCGGTGCGTAGGCCGTCATATTCCTTCCGCAGTCGATTTGTCCGAGCTAATCTAATGGGGTCTGTATCCACAGCTTTGTGGTTGGACGGGGTCTCCGAGGAACCAATGATAGGACCGTAGAGGCCGTCAAACTCATCGACAAGGCGACTCTGGTAAGTGGCGATAGAAACCCAAGCATCTCGCCAGGCTTGAGTAGATTGTACGATCTGATCAAATAACACGTATCAGGAAATGCGACAGGACGTGCGTCATCGGGGTAACGGTGTCTACCTTGCCTAGGAGCATATCTGCATCGTCGAAATCTTTGAGAAGCACAGCAATTTGGCTGTCATCTGCAGATGACTTTGTCGTCATGCGACCAAAGCGCCTGGTCATGTTCTGCATGTTAGGTGATGAGGGAGCTCTCAGAAGCTCACGGGGAGCATGAAATGAAGAAAGAGTAATAACAAAAGTTTTGCACACGGGCAAAGCACTTGAAACAAGAATCGACCTTATTCACGATTCTTTCCCGATTTAAAACCAAAGTGATGGGAAAGGAACATTGAAAAAAACGTTGGAAGGGGGGCTCAACGTCGACCTGACACATAATTCGGCCCCCAAATGTTTCAGCCGTTCATGCGGCTCTCGCGCCACGACCCCCCTCTATACATTTTGGGAAAGTGGTCTAGATGTCCATCACTCTGTACCCCTTTATCGACTCTAGATAAATCGTCTTAAACCAGGGGGTCATAGCCATCTTATACACCACGGATTACATGGGGCCAGAACAGAGATATATGTATACCACTTTAAGGGGGCGATTATCCTATGCTCTTGGCAAACTATCATTTAATTATACTACACGTATTGTTTCTAAGAGAAGTTGGAATAAAAGATAAACACTAGAAGTGATGAATTCAGAGATGTGAACTAAGAACTGCTGGTACGTGATCCACATCTCTATTGTAGGACAACTCTTACTCTGGAAAGGTCGTGATAGTTGTCGATATTTGTTTTCTGTCCGATCATAATGCAATCTATGACTACTAGGCAACAGTGAGCGGCCCTCTTCTGTTCTGGGCATGGCGCCATTAACATCGGCCCCGATTTGATTTGTACAGGCTGTCTAGAGGACCATTCGCCCTATTAACGAACCACTGATAGACTGAAATTCCATCTTCATTGCTTGGAATTGGAATGATTGGGTTTGCCTGATAGATTCTGTCGAGCTAAGCGCTCGGTCGTAGTAAATGGGAATCTTTGTGACTCATATTATACTTCCATGTCAGACAAGGAGATGGTTCCTCTAGGCCCTAAACAGGACACCTTGGTTTGAGTGATTGTGTAGTGGTAAAGTAGCCTATAATTTTCCAATACTCAATCTTGTTTCACTAAAAGTCGGCCCCGGAGTGGTATAGTTAGGTAGTTAACTATTCCTTGTAGCATTTAAGTAAGAGGCGGCTTTAGCGAGATCGTTCATGCATTCACTGGGTAAGGGGTAGCGGTTTCAACCTTTCCACTTTAGCGATTGCCCTATTCCGCTTATCTAGAATATGGGCTTCCTTAGTTCATAGAAAAAAAAGACCTATCTATCTTTGAGTAGTTGATTGATAAACCTGTTTAACTAGTTGCTACTTAATAGGGGCCGCACAGTTCATGTACCCGAGGAAGATGTCGTTTCCTGAAAAGAGGAAACAATGCACGATAGAGGGACAAGGTGGATTTCGTGAGATGGTCCGGTATTTCTCGAGTTCTTTTTCAAACTTTTCCATTTTAAATTCTCCAGACTTTAGACTTGGACGATGATGCGTGGCGAACCTCGTAAACAAAAGAGATACCTCCCTAGGATCCAGTGCACGCTAGGAAATTAGCCACGAATATCCATGATATCCATGGGTGGTAGTAATTTGATGTGAGAGGCCCATCGTGAGATTTTGAACAACCCTCACCTAATTGATTCCAATTGGTTCTAAAATTACTCGCTCTGGCCTTGATTGTCAGGTTAGACAGCCCAAACTTCCTCTCAATAATTCAAGGGTCTTTCTGACCATGTAGCTGCGGAAGATTCAGATTCATCGGGTGAAGTCGAAACTTATTTTGATAGTATCTGATGATCTCAAAGATCCACCGAATCCATCTTCAACAACTCTTTCTTCCACCACTTCTCCTCCTCTTCCACGGCCGCTATCCGACTCTTCGCCTGCCGGAATCCATGCCCTTCTCCATGGAAAACCACCAACTTAGATTCACGACCAACCTTTGTCATCATTTCGACCATTTCCTCTGCCTGGTTCATAGGAACGACCAAATCCTCGTCTCCTTGCAGCAACAACAATGGCGCAGTGATCTTGTCTACCTTGAGACAGGGGCTGCGTTCGTTGAAAATGCGGGTTTTCTCGTCTTCATCCACTCCTGGATCAAACAGCAAGGCGAATGCGTAATGGCTCTCAAACTTATGGGTATCCTCACAGAGAGCCTTGACATTGCCGATTCCGTAAAGAGAATTGCCACCGGCGAAGAGATTGGGGTAGTCACAAAGAGCTTGGAGTACGATGTATCCGCCCGCACTTTGGCCGCGAATGCCGACTCCATTTTGGTCGATTCGGCCAGTGGACGCTAAGTATGACACACAGCTAGCAGCATCTGCTGTGTCAAGGATCCCTAATCGGATTTGGTAAGCTTTGGGAGAGAATTGGGTACGTTTGCCATGAGAGTGGAATTTTTACCCCATTGTCCGTTCAAATCATCCCGGTACGCTCTGCCATATCCGGAGCTACCTCCATAATTTACCCAAACAACGGCATACCCTCGAGAAGTCCAGTATTGGTTCGTAATATTCAGGCCAGTTCCGGTTTGGGACGTTGGTCCACCATGGACACAGACGATCAGAGGCGGCAGCGCTCCAGAAGGTGGCTGATAATCTGGGTTCTGAGGTGCGTAGAAGATAGCATGTGCCACTCCTTCCAAGTTCTCACCGTGCACTCTTGGAAAAGATAGATGCTCTGGCTTGGAAACAAGAGAACTTGGCATGGGGAGCTCAGAAGCTACCTTGAGTGCATCGAGCTCGACGGTGTCGGCCATTTCCAATGTAAAAACAGTGTTGAAGCTCGTCTCGCTAGATCCAAGAAGCGCTATTTTTGTATCTGAGAGAGGAGTATCTGCCAAAACAATCGTGTCTGTCACTGGCAGATTCATTTCCTGCCAGGATTCGTTCGAGAGATCAATCAATATGAAACTCCATCTACCATTCTTTGTGTACGACGCGATCATTGAAGTTGGAGTCAAACACACGTAGGTGCAACTGGCAAAAGAGAGTAAAGGTCAGCCATCAAATCAACAGCTGCTTCCTCGCATCAAAACCAAACGTACTTTCCTAGATGCCAGTCTGGCTGCGAAAACTCCACTTCTTCCAGACCATGTAGGGGCACCCGTTGACACTCCAAAGTGTCAGCATGAGACCGATAGAGCTGCCAATACCCCGAACAATCACTCGTGAAGTACAACTTGTTATCAAGGCCCCATCGTGGCTGGCTAACGCTTTCTTTCTCCGGCACACCCGACACATGGCAAATGTCTGTAACCTGACCATTATTCCACTTGGCCACATACAGGCGGGCTCCTGTCCATGGCATATCTGGATGAGACCACTGGGTCCAGCATATCCTGCTGCCATCAGGGGAAAACTGAGCAGCGTTGTAGAAATCATCCCCAGAGGCGACGTTGACAATCTCTTTGGACTGTACGTTTACCGCGACGAGTCGGTTCCGAACTTCCGACGGTAAGGGTTTGGAGTGATCTTCTTCGATCGCTAAGATCCAGCCTGACTCCGCCTGGCCATCTGACAGAGATCCCGTAGCAGAGGTGGACGCATAGCGGAGAGCATTGCTTGTCTTTGTGATCTGCTCAACTTGACCTGTGGAGGGATCGAGTTTATGCAGATCCTGTGTCTCCCGATCAGAAAAGACGACATGTCCATCGAAAGCGATCATCGATGCGCCGCCATATTCATGAACTTTGGTGCGAGCGTCATATCTAACAAATTCTGTTTAGATCTGGGTTCATATACATGGCTGAATCTCAAGTATGTACTTGGCTGGTAAGATATCTCGTCCTTCATGGCCAGCGTATTCGACAATGCAGCCACGTCCCTGCTCTTTGGGTCGATCCTCAATTACATAAACCTTTCCCTTGGATGTCTGAAGAGGTCATTAACACATTGCAATATGAGCGATCTTCATATTCATTGAACATACCGCGATGGATTCAAATTGAACACCGTCAGCGCCAAGCAAGGTAGAGCTGATCGGACTCTTCCATTGGCCGAATGGAGCTGTAACTGGAGTACTCATAGAGATTGTAGTTATAGAATAAGTTTGCTGAATTGGTCGAGTCGATACTCTCGAGAACGTATGTTGGTTAAGGTATTGGCAATGTCGCGGGGTGAGGTTTGAAAAAGAAAATCTACCCCGCAGAGGCAACATTGGTGCTGACCGAGTGTCAGCTGAATTCAGTAGAAACGAGCAATCAAAGTGCTAGTTGAATTGTCCATTGTAAAGAAGATATTAACATCTCCAAACATAATAAATAAGACCTGATCACTTGACTAACCTCTCCCCAGCATCGCTGATACCCTTTCGGATGTTCTCTCAGCGCATGTCTTGTCCCTCTTTTTTCGTGTCTTTTATTCTGTGCTTATTTTTGGTGCATGGGCTTGTTCGTAAAATTTACTGTTCCAAATCCTATCCATGAGCTTGTTTTGAGTTGGCATTGATGAATACCTGTCGAAGAGCATGCCTCTGTAACTGGGTGACTGGCTTTCTCCATTTTGATGCCTGAGGCCTTCCAGTCTGGTACTTTCTTATCGGCTTATCGTGTTTTCCACTTCCAACGCGAGAACAACGCGACCAAAACTACATTTCGCGACCCCATGCGATGCAGCCTTTATTAAGGTGTTCCACAATGCTACTATGATCTCCACACCGTCATCCTCCACGCGTCTTCCTCCGACTTCCCCGCAGGTCACTGCCTCGGTGGTGAAGTTTCGCTGCCTGTACACTCACGACCTCCGCCGCAAGTCCAAACGATGGCATGATGGCTACCTACGATATCATAAATTCAATAAACGTATTATGGTCTACGATGATCAGGGAAATTTTATCGGCGACCACCACTGGCGATCTTCGGACGAAGTACAAGATGGCGATGAAATGGAGTTGGACAAGGGAGTCTTGATTGAGGTGACAGAGAACATGGGAACCACGGAGACGGACATCACCACACTCTATGAAAAGAAGAAATCTAGCCAGGGATCGCCGCAGACCAAAGACCCGGTGTCCCAAGCCCCCTGCGCCTCTACCTACACCTCCGCCTCCGCACCACTTCGTTCCTCCGCTTCGTCGCAGTCATTTCGCTCTCTCAACGATTTGCTAGGCATTAAAAGAACTCCAATCGGACATTTAGTGTCTCCATACGAGGAAAGGAATCCTCCGCGACCAGCCTCTAGCATTCAGGAAACTGAACGCGCACCGAAGCGACAGAAGACATCCTCGGTATTGAACCGAAGACCCGAGAAAGGCTCGCACGCCCGGAGTGAGGTCATTGATTTGACCGATCCAACCGATTCAAATCGGGGACTCCCCGTGAAGCAAAGGCTATGTCAAGTGGTAAAAGAACTACCCAGAGCCGGGGATAATTCTACGGGCGATGTTTTCCCAGCAAATGATAAGCAGAGGTCGGCAGTTCAAACAAAACAAAATCGGCCACAGAGACCCAATTCTCCTTCACTCTCAACTGTCTCCGCTTCAACTGTATCTGAACCAACCTTCAGTCTACCGAGAGCCGAGGAAGTGGTTCACATAGCTACGAAGGGTGCACAACCACCAAGATCCGTCGGCCCCTCACCGAAAAGTTCTCTTATTCCCACTATACCCGCAGAAACAGACATAACCGGGCCTCGAGGAAACTTGCTCGCGGATCAAATGTCAATCAATCGCGAAAAGCAATCGAGAGTTGCTCCTCGTCCCATCCCACTACAGAGGTCTGACCCGCCCACGGTTTCAAGAAGCTCTCCCCCCATTGCACCCAAGCAGCCTTCGTCTTGTCGATTTGCACCACAGCCGCCAGTGCGTGTAGTAAAAAATTATGTAAAACCCATCGAATCTGCGAACGACCAAGCTGCAACCAAAGTTCCACCCCCGGCTGACGTTTCGTCTCCCGCCAATGTTTCACTATCAGTTAAAATACCACCCACAGCCAACAACTCATCTTCAACGAAGATGCCACCTCCATCACGTCTATCTTCGGTACCACACTCTGAAGCACCTACGGCAGCTCTACGCATGGGAACCGGAAAGCCACGTAGAAAACTGATGTACAGTGCCCTGCTGCCTGGCATTTCCCGAACTCCGTCGCCGGCGAACTCAGATACACCACCTGGTAGTGCAACCCGTGAACCCGCTATAATTAATCCCGAGCAACAGTCAGTATATACTCACCCAATAACCCAGATTGTGATGCTGATTGCCCTGTAGCCTAGCCACCGCTCCAGGTGATTCCTCATTATTAAACGAAGAATTTATGCCCTCAAACTCGACACAATTCATCTTCGACGAGATGATAGATGGATCGGGATTCAAATCGCCCTCCACAATCAAAAGGCTAACCGGGAAAAGATCTTTCGACTCACCCTTGCGCAAATCGATCTCGGATCCGACTGCATTGACTGCCCGCCGGGTCCGGGAAGGAGGATCATTTCACGCAGGCAGTAAGGAAAACGAGCTCAGAGAGCAAGGCCCTTGGACATCCGAGGCATTAGATTTGTTTGACTTCTGGCCTGCTGGACGACCAAAGCCAAACGAATGAAATACATGCCTTGGCTCATTCTGAAAGCCGTATGTAAGATTCTAAACAAAAATGAGCAAGGTTCACACCAACCCAATAACGCAGAGGACAAAACACTTCCAGGGCTCTTGTGCCCAGCGACGTCCACCATCTTGTGAGAAGCAATCGCCAAATCGCCGAAACCCTCGCCCATGCTGTTCTCAAAACCAAGGCTGTGAGCAGCTTTCTGTGATATTGCTGCGTGAGACAGGCCATGGTTGAAGATACCATTCACACGTCTACACTTTGCGAACATACTACTTGCAGTTCATGTCGTGGAAACCCACTCTTTAATATCCCAAGGCTTCCCCGCCTCCCTCCTAAATCCCTCGGAATTAATGGTGGATTTCAAGAGCTTGTCCGCATGAAACTTATGCTCTATATTTCCGAAATGAACCATCGTGGCCCAGAATCACCCCCTGACGACCTCATTGATACGAAAATGTGATATACACAAAGATACCCCATTTAAAAGTAATGAAAAACACAAGTGTACATCGCTCATCTCAGAAATGACTGGCTGACGCCAACCTCATCCAAACCTAAACCCCCTTCTTAACTAAAACCCCAGAAATATAAGGCATAGCCGACCACTCAAAATTCCTCTCTAACTCAACACTCTCCCACCCGCCATCCACATCAGCAGCAGCCCTTAAAACCGCCTCGGTATCCCTAACCAAACAACAATCCCCAGTAAACCAACTCCATCCAAGAACCTGATAAACACCCTGCACAAACCGCCCAATAATCGACCCTTTGGCTCGCCGCCACGGATTAACAACATGCTCCGTAACAAGCAACCGCCCACCAGGCCTAAGCATCCCGTACAGCTCACTCACCGTACGCTCCATTTCAGATACCGAGCACAATACCCGCACACAAAGGATCGTGTCGAAGATACCAGCGCGCGGGTCGGTATCGTACTCATCCACGACGCCCGTCCCCGCCGCCCGCAATGCGGGGATCAGTTCGTGGGCTGCTACGCCTGTAGGCACGATGTGATACCTGGGTGAGATGTTCTCTGCAAGCGCTTTTGCGCGGATCGTGGCGTGGAGGCCTTTGCATGGCTCGGCACCGTATAGGGCTGTTATGGCTGGTGAGGTGAGTAGTGGCATCTGTGTACCTGTGCCTGGACCGATGTCGAGGACTGTTCCTGTGGCTGTGCGGAGGATTGGGGGGATTAGAGCTGAGGAACCGACTGGCTCGGAGACTTGTTGGTTGTTTGGGTTGGAGCTCATTTGGCGGGGTGCTGTGATGGTAGTGGTTTGGTTAGGGATTTATGTTTTTAAAGTTGTCTTGGCTTATTTGTAGGCCGTGCTCTTAGATCCTTTTTTCTCATAAACGTTGCGGAGGTCGCTAGGAGCAAGAGGGTCCGCTTTGGGGGGGTTTTGGTGATAGAGATAGTGGCTGGGACTTACTAGTGAACTCGATCCAGAATCTTCCGAATGCTTCATCGCGGAGTCTCCGGGTCTGAGTGATTGGGGCAAAGAGCTGGCCATTTTTGAAGACAGCTTCGGCGCAGATTCGGATGTAGTCTGTGGTGCTGTAATTAGTTTACTGGTCCATATGTCGGTAATGGGAAATTAGTGCTGATGTGAGGGATGTGCAGTCTTGTGTCAGATGCAGCGAGATATCAGACAAAAATCCAGAGAGTCCCGCCAAAAGAAAAGATGACATCAACAAATGAATAAAACACAGGGCAAAAGGAAATAGAATGTTACAAGGGCATTAATACAAGGAGAATAAAAGCGTTTCTATCGGTATCGAATTCCTTAAATTGAAATCGAGATCATTCGGTGTCTGTTCGGCGTTTGTACTTACGCGACATAGCCCAAGTCATGATATATGCTGGCTCGAACATTGCGAGCATTCGTCCGATAAATGGTGGGGCTTCGGTCGACATTGTGATTCAGAGATGTCAAAATCCGATTGTATCAGTTCCAATAAATGTTGAGAGGAGGGAACATCAGAGAAGGTTAATATAGATAGGGTGCGGATGTCACTCACGTGACAGAGGCTTTGCGGGGACTTCAAGTCCCATCTGCAGGCCTGTAATCTGAAAATGACAAGATTTTTTGAATGGATGATTGTACCGTCTTCAGATCAACGGGTCTTACGAAATCAAGAATTATCAGACATAATCCAACAAAATTGAACATAGACTAATTAATATCTAGCATCCTGGTCTGGTGCAAATTGCACAAATACTCAAAGATGGTCACACCAGAAGAAAGAGCGCAGCCTATCGACACAAAGACGATGGCGGGTTGTGGTCACAGGAATTATCAACATAAAGGAGAATATAGAAAAAGAGCAGACTCAGATTGGGAGAAACGTTCCAGCAGGAGACAATGATTGAAGGAAGGACACAGACACAGTAGGAGTTGAGATCTGTAGAGAGTAAAGAAAAAAACAGATCGTAGGTGAAGAGAAGGTGGAGAAATTTAGGGTGAAACTATTCAGGGAGTTTCGGAGCCCAGGGATCTAGAATCACCAAGGTACATAATTCAGTTGACGTCTCGGTTTTGAGGTATGAGGTATTTCACGCTCTTATGAAAGAAGTTAAGGTCCGAAACACTATTAGAAAGGTTGCTGGTTGGATAAGAGACGGGAAAAAAAGGAGACTTGTCATCATTATCTTTATAAGTGACTCGAGTCTGGGTTGAGGACCTGCCCACAAACCCTACGAACAAAGGCCAATCTCATAGGACGATGTTCAGTGGTGGTGTGGTGAGTGGATGCGGTTGACCCTCGGACTATACCGACTGGTGCGAGAAAGAGAGCCAACATCATGTTTTCCGTCGCAACAGGCGCGGACATTCTCGAGTCGGTCTTGTTCCTGGGGTTCGACCACATGTCTCAGATCATCGGCACTTTCTGGCCCATGAAGACTTTCATCGTGGACACTAGCAGATTGGCCGTTCCGTCCCTTCAAGCTTGCGATGGACCCCCGAATCGAGCTGGAGATGGTGCTGAGTCTGGACGAAGAACGTTGGCGATCATCGGGAACTTGCAACGACGACTTTGGTACAGGTGAACTAAGCGCCGGTGATGCACGCCCACCGAGAGTACCGGACGATCGCAAGGACATGGCCGAGGCCGCTCGCCGCTGTTGCTTGGATGCTTGTCGAGCGGTGCGGCTGTTGTTAGATGAGAATGACATTCGTGCTGTCTGACGAGAACTGGACCGGAGGCTGGGGGGGTTGAACTCGTTGATATCGTCGAGCGTGACGCTGTTATTATCCTCGCAGTTGTTGTTGGTCTCCCTTAGAAGGAGATAGGACAACGCGTTGAACCATGTTTCGTGCCTCTGGCTCGTCGTTGCTGTAAAACGAACTCGTCGGCCAGGGCTGACAACCTCCAAGCTCCTACAGTGGAGACCCGGAGGATATGGGTTGTCGTCGGCAACCACTCGAACAGCCTCGATGGGCACACTCTTGGTACGGAGCTCACTCTTTCCGGCAGTTTGCGGGTCCTGTATACTCCAGTACAGCGTACGAGTGTACGGGTGAACCCAGAAGTATCGTCGGTGCCGTGTTGTGGACATATCCGATGAGCCAGTCTTGCGGGTGTACTTCCAAAGGAATTCGCCAATCATGGTTTGAGTAATCGCCTGGATCATGCGCGGATCCGTATTAGGTCCGTAACCGCCTGGCATGGGGCCAGCATGAGGGGCCATATTGAAACGCTCTTCAAGCTCAGACGCAAAAGATGACACTGAGGATTGTCGAGACATCTGGCTTTGACTTTCCCTCCTCATTCTAGCTTGAGATGAACCGGTTCTTGAAGAGCTAGCCCGCGCAGCATGTTCGCCTGGCGTAAGTGGGCGCTGGGAGTTCACGCGGTGGGCGGAGGCAGGAGCTAAAGGAGGCCCCATGGCAGAGGTAGGAGATGGCGGAGCCACGTCGGTGGGCCTCTTCTCGGCTGCCAGGATAGCTTCCCGGTGATCGACCGGCAGTGGGGGATGACTGACACCAGATGTCTGACTGGTGGCACTGGGAGGCCGGCGTTGATTTGGTGTTGTTGACTTCGCTGACTGAATTTGCGAAAGGCGAGGTCGCGTCGGAGCCTTGGGTGTAACGTAAGGAGAAGCGGCAGCTGTAGTGATTGCGGCAATCTCTCGTGAGTTGTCCGTCACCTGGCTGTGGGAAGATGGCGGGCGTGCGGACACACGATCCATAAGAATTTGATCTATCTGCTTAGATGACAGGATAGTCTGAGATCCTTGGTCCATGTTTACTGAACTAGATTGTTGTCTAGCAGAGCGAGCAAGGGCGTTGCCAGAAAGATCGTTCAAGGCCAGTCCAGCACCAACGAATTGATCACTATCGACTGTGCCAGTGCGGCTACGAGCAGCGTCAGCAAGATGGTCTCGATGGATAATCACAGCGGCTCCTGCGGCCTTTGACTGTATTGGCTCGGTTTGAGTAGAGAAGTCTGCCACAGCAGGGGTGGCAAATGGCATAGACTTCACTGGATGAGTCTCCACTGAATGGACAGAGGAGAATGACAATGCCGGCATAGGGACAAGGCGAAGCCTTGGAATAACAGGCTCCGTGTGTGCTGAATCGATGGAAGAGATCGTCAAATTCGGTACCTCATGCTCAACATGCTTGATAACATCGACGTATTGAATCACAGGTGGTTCCGGTTCAGGGACAGCGGCTTTGACTGGCTCAGTGGATTGAGTAGTGATTGAAGAGAAGCTTGACTGCGGCACGTCGCGCTCACGCTCAACGTATTCAATCACAGGCTCTACTTTAGCAAGTGTTGCCTGCACAGGGACAGTGGTTTGAGCAGTAATCGAAGAGAAGCTTGACTCCGGCACGTCGCGCTCACGCTCAACGTATTCAATCACAGGCTCTACTTTAGCAAGTGTTGCCTGCACAGGGACAGTGGTTTGAGCAGTGATCGAAGAGAAGCTTGACTCCGGCACGTCGCGCTCACGCTCAACGTATTCAATCACAGGTTCTACTTTAGCAAGCGTTGCCTGCACAGGGACAGTGGTTTGAGCAGTAATCGAAGAGAAGTTTGCCTCCGGCACTTCCCGCTCACGCTCAACGTGCTTGATGACATCAACGTATTGAATGACAGGTGGTTCTGGCTCAGGAACAATGGCTTTGGCTGGCTCAGTGGTTTGAGTGGTGATCGAAGAGAATATCAGTTCGGGTACCTCACGTTCACGCTCAACGTGCTTGATAACCTCAACGTATTCAATCACAGGCTCTACTTCGGCAAGTGTTGCCTGTACAGGGACAGTGGTTTGAGCAGTAATCGAAGAGAAGCTTGACTCCGGCACGTCGCGCTCACGCTCAACGTATTCAATCACAGGCTCTACTTTAGCAAGTGTTGCCTGCACAGGGGCAGTGAATTGGGTGGTGATAGAAGAGAAGCTTGACTCTGGCACTTCACGCTCACGCTCAACGTGCTTGATGACATCAACGTATTGAATGACAGGCGGCTGCGGCTCAGGAACAGTTGCTGCGACTGGCTCGGTGGTTTGAACGGTGATGGAAGAGAAGCTTAACTCTGGCACCTCAGGCTCGCGTTCGACATGCTTGACCACATCGATGTACTTGACGATAGGCTCCGGCACAGCAAGTGTTGCCTGGACAGGAACAGTGGATTGATTATCTATGGAGGAGAATTTCAACTCGGGGATCTCGCGCTCGCGCTCGACGTATTTGATAACAGGTTCTGGCTCGGGAACAGTTGCCTGGATTGCCTGGACAGGTTTTGTCGACTGAGCGGCGACAGACGAGAAGCTCAACTCTGGCACAGCTAGTATTGCAGAGACGGGGGAACTTGATTGAGTCGTAATGGAGGAGAAGGTCAGCTCGGGCACCTCCGGCTCGCGTTCCACGTATTTGATAACATCAACATGCTTGATGATTGGCTCAGGTACGTTAACCGTTGGTTGAATGGGATTGGTGATTTGTGATGAAATTGAAGATATCGTCATCTCCGGCACTTCCGGCGGGGGGAACTCATGCTTCGCGGGTGTGGTGGTGCCGCCGGTGATGTATGAGACGCTCAGATCAGGCCGCTTAGGTGCAGAGGGCGTAGTCTCTTGGGAAGAAACTTCTGCAATGCCCATATCTAGTAGACCAGGAAGCTTCTTCGTTTCCTTAAAAATCTCCTGGTCTGCTGTTTGAGTTGCCTGGGGTGCAACGAGAATATGTGACAGAACAGCTCCATCAACAATGCCAGCACCGATTGAAAGCGACGAGGGCTCCAAAGGTTCAGTCATAACACCAGAATCCACCATTTCAGGCTTAGGTGGTGCATCCAGCATTACGTCTGAGGGTCTCCGTGAGCACGATACAGGCCCCATGCGCGGTGTCGAAGCCTGGGAGTTTAATTCATCATCTTCGGTGCTATCGAACTCTGCAAGTTCAGCAAAGAGGCTCTGGCCCTCCTGAGCTATTGGCACTGGCGCAAAATCGGATGCTGCAGATTCACGTGAACTCGAAGGTCGACTATTTGATGCGAATATGGCCTCTCCAGATGGACGAAAGCGTCTTGTGCTGCGTTTGGACTTAACACGGTGTCGGGATATGTTAATTTGGCTGGGAGAATCATATTCTTCTTCATCGGAAGATGCGGAGGCAGTGCTATTGTATGATGTGCGATCGCGGGCTTTGGCCATGACCAGTGAAGAAGGCACTCGGCGGCGAGGAGTGGTCCCTAAATTGTCTTCCGTCTCGGTAAGATCAGCCGAATCGCTGCTATCATCCGCCATACTTTCGGCACCAGTTTGGAAAGCCTCGCTTTCCGTTGCGGTTGCCCTCTCGTTCGCTGTTTCAAATCCATCCTCAGCCTCGGTAGCTGTCTGGTAGATGTCGCTAGGTCCTTTGGGAGATTGCGAGCGAGAGCGGCCCCTAGTGGACGACGCCTTGGTGTGGGTCTGTGTGGGACTGATTTGTCCGGCATTGTCTTCCCAATCGGTGTCTTGAAGCTCAACAAACGATCTCTCTTTGCGGCCTGCGCCCAGTAGATCTGGGCGATGAGGCTTTCGAGCCGAATCTGTCTTTGTCTTCTGACGCTTGCTAGTTCCGTTTGGTACAGTGCTCTCACGCTGGCGTTGCTCAACTTCATCCCGAGCATCTTGTAGCATACGTTTGAGCTCGATCTTTTCAGTCTTCTCGCGGTGAATTGTACTCTTGAGGTTTTGAATCATGCGGTGAGCATGGCCGAGCGAGCTCTTCAAGGTTTCCGATTCAAGATGGCCATGCCGAGGAGTGAACTTGTTGGGGGATGCTGGCGGAGAGCTTTCAGGTGTGTTATCCTCGGGCTCAATGTCCTCGTCGTCATATGAAACATCCCTCAAGCCTTGATTTTCATGTTCCCGAAGCCTCATAGCAACTATCTTGGCGAGCTCTTGATTTTGAGAAGTCATTTCCAACAGCTTCTTTTGGAGTGCGGACTTTTCCGCATCACCAGCAGTCAAATTCCGCCTCAATAGGTGAATTTCTGCATCATTTGCCTTCTGCGTGAGGCTCTGATCCTCAAGCAACCTCGCATTGGCTTGCCTTTGCTCCTCGAGCTCTCGTTCCATGGCACTTTTTTCTGCATTTGACAATATGACGGTGCTGTTGAGCCGTTGTTCCCGTTCCGCAGCATCCCTCACGGCTGCCATCAACTCATGTGTTTGAGTTTCCAGTGTCCAGTTCTCGTCCTTGTAGCGTTGCTCGCTATCATCGAGCGCCTGGATTCTTTGTGCATATCCCTCTGCTTCCAACTCAAGTCGCAATTTCTCAAGATTAACACGCTTGAGTGTTTCATCCCGTTCTGCAAGAAGACCTTGTAGTTGGCGGACCTGGGCCAAAAGTGAAGTGGAGATCTCAGTCGCAAATTCGATGTCGTGGACACGGTTCGATGGTTGATTGCGCTGCTTGCGAGACGGAACGCTGACTTTGCTAGGGGAATTCGTGGCTTGACTGGCAAACATAGCAGGACTTAGGTGTGACTATCAGAACTTGATGTCAGTTTGGCTAGAAATCGGGCCAATCTCGGATGGAAAGACCCGGGCAGTACCTTTTGATCGAAAGACGGCGGCCCAAGCTGAGCATCTTCCGGGCCACCAGCAAGACGTTTGGGTGCTAAAAACGCGCGTGCCGACTCACGGCCGATCTCGTTGTACTCCTTCTCCAAGTCTGCAAGTTTCCGTCGCAGTTCCGGTCCCATCTCTCCTTCATTCTGCTCCTGCTCGACCTCTTTCAACTGCTCTGATAGCTGCCGCTGCTGGTTGATAAGGGCCGTTCCTAGCCTTGAGGCCTCCTCCAGTCGGCGTTCCGTCTCCGCCAAGTGGGCCTCGAGGGCCCTTTTGGCCTGTGCTGGTGAAGACGCATTTAGGCTGTATAGCTGTGTGTCGAAGCGATTGGAGTCGCGAGGGACAGCCGGCCTTCCAGAATTCGCAACGAAGGGGTCTTCCATGGACGCAAATGACCCGGTGGCCTCAGCGTTGGATGCGGTCATGATTGGAATTCAGGGGCCTCAAACAGCACCTGAATCCTCTTACTGGAGAGGACACAGTTACCGTTGAGCTATCGGGGCTCGTGGCTTGATCTTTGTTCTGACTCTAGGCCGCGAGCATCATCCAAATCACCACACTCGGTCAAAACCGTTGTCGCAAGAAGATTTTTGTTGAGATCTTTGCCGAGCCGACCAGCGACCAGAGCTTGTACGAGGGATGTCGAGTTTACCGCACGCTAATTTTGATGCGACGGGGGTGGAGTGGCACACCGTTGAAAGATGTGGGAGGGAAGAGGGGGGGGAAAGCCCACACAATTTAGAACAACAAACACCGAGGACCTTCGGACGAATCAGTGAGCTCCTAGTAAGATTGGCCACCTGGGCACACACGCGCGTAGAGATGCAACTAACCACAACAAAGTGCTCGGGAACTGCAGGACCTTTGGAATCGGCCTGAATGGTATGGATAAAGGAAAGGCAAGATCACAAAGGGAAAACAAAAAGGACAGCTAAGTAAAAGAAACAAAGGAAAGGAAAAAGGAAAGGGAGCGTAGGGAGTGATTGGATAGGTCGAGCTAAGGTGACTCGGCGGGGGAGAAAAGGGAAGAGAAGAACAAGACTGAGTGAACGTGCTGTTGTGTTATTGCCAATTGGCGCCGGTGTTTGAGATTCACGATCGATCATCACCCCAGACGGGGAGAGGCATATCTGCGATACTAGGCTACATTCTTGGATCTAAATTAGGACATTTGAATTGACTATAAAACTGTAAAAAAACAATATGAAGTGCTGATTCGACAGGTTCCTGCGTGTATTTGCTGCGATTTTCCCTATCAAACGCGGTCCCTAAGGGAGGAGGTGGTTTGGCATGTTTGCATCTGCGAGCTTAGTCATTTCTCAATAGGCCCATTTGATATCGAATCTTGCACATGCGCGCATCTTTACAACCTCAAGAGCTCGCCCAATTGCTTAAAAATTGACAGCTACTCTTCCGCCACACCCAGCACACAAAATGGGCGAAGAAACAGAAATTGCAAACGCCGTGCCCCAAGTCGCTTTCAAGAAGCGCTCCAAGGGCAAAGCCAACTTTCGCAAGAAGCCCGCAACGCCACCTCCTGCTTCTGACTCTGACTCCGACTTTGTATCATCCGATGATGACGAAGGGCGACGAATTAAGAGGCGTCGCAGGAATGTAGCTGTCGCCGCATCATCCACGTCAAATGCGACAAGGAATCAGCGCCCAGAAAACGGACCCATCACTGCGGTTCCCGCCCCATTGACCTCGAGCAACGATGCCACAAAGGCTTCTAACTGGTATGATGAGAACCTGAGCGAGAAGAATCTACTGGGTACAACCCGGGAAAAACCAACATCCTCTGCCTCCCAGCCAGACGGAACCTACAAGGGCGCCGCCAACTATCAATCTTTCATCCAGAAGAACCCCGATGCACCGGGGAAATTTGGTCCCCTTAAAGCTGCGACCAACGTTAGAACTATCACGGTGACAGATTTTGCCCCCGATGTGTGTAAAGATTGGAAACAAACTGGCTACGTGAGTTATGCCCTCGCCTCCATCTATCTATCATGAATCGGGACTTACTCCTTCTTTAAAAAACTAGTGTGGCTTTGGAGATAGCTGTAAATATCTCCATTCTCGGGAGGCATACAAGGCAGGATGGGAGCTTGACCGTGACTGGGAAGTCAACACCAAGGGCAAGCAATTAAGCGGGCGAGTGGTTTCACAACGAAAAGGCGCGGGGAAAATCGCCGAAGAAGAGGATGATGACGACGAGGATGAATTGCTAGAGAGCATTCCTTTCGCCTGTATCATCTGCTTGAAACCTTATCAAGAACCTATCATCACCAAATGTGGGCACTATTTCTGTGAAGCCTGTGCCCTGCAGCGGTATCGGAAAACCCCGTCGTGTGCTGCCTGCGGCGAGGGAACTGGGGGTGTCTTCAACGTCGCAAAGAAGTTGAAGACCTTGCTGAACAAGAAACGGGAACGTGCGCGCAAGATCCGAGAGGAGGCAATTGCAAATGGGGAAGATGTCAGTGATCTAGAAGAGGGTGACGATCGTGATTAGAGGGGAAAGATCTCCGTGTAGCATAATATAAACCAAGGAAGCAGCTGGACTGCAATCCTTGTCCTTGGGAAATTGGATCAGAACTTCTCTATTTACTTAAGTATCTCCAAGTACCTTGACTTTGAGTACTTCACATTTGTTCTACGCCCGAGACTGGGATAGCATGCAAACCAGTTGATCCGAATCCTATAGTGTAATATCCAAAAAGAGAATCAGCATCCTGTTTTGGGGCCCAATCTCTTGTGGCAAAAGTGGATGTGGCAATATGTAGGGAGCAAGTAGCCTTCTACTTTGGGCTTATGTACTCTCCGTGCCAGGGGCGTGATCATTCACCGCAACAAGCTATGGAGACTTCCTCTCAATCCGCTCGACAAACACACTAATCTAAGCCAGGAGTCAATTGCGAGATCGCAGAGATCATATGAACCAGGAAATCATATCGAGCACACGGCCAAGCATTCCATGCAGTCAACATCTCATTGCGGCTCTCTCTAGAAGGCGGTTGTGCAACATATGACGCGCAACCATTAAAATGCGGTCTTCTGAATGGCTGACTTGGATATTCTCCCCACTTGAGTTAATCAACACTCGCCCCGTACGGAGTGTGCCTGTTTCTGCAATCTAATCACTTGCACTTGACTTACATCGAACCTCTGATCTCATGTCAGAAACGTATCATGCAGTTGATCCATCTGCCTGATTCTATCACAGTCAAACGTGATTCAACAATCCACACGTAGGACCCTGAAATATTTTCAGCCTATGAAATCATCAAGCGTGCCAAGGAAATGCGAACTGTTTCCTACCCACAAGTAGGCTGTGCATTGACAAAAAAGGATCACGGCACTACTCCGTAAAGGCTATTCTAAACGATTTAAAACTTGCAACCAACCGAGACAACCCCCACTTAGATACGAGTCCGAATAATAGTCTGGTGGACAACGGAGTACGGACTCCGTACATGCCATCCCCATTGCAGTGTCACTTACCCTCTTTAAGAAAAGTGTTAGATTAGCAGTCAACACCTCGTGCCATTTCCTACAACATTAGGAGAAAACACGCGTGTGGCCGTTGCAGTAAATCATACCTGGGCTTAAGTATTCGGAGCGATCTCTCCCGTACTCCCAACGGATTCATAAAAGGCCATAGTTTGAATTGGTAGGGAGTAGTCCATCCCTACGCCTTGATCTCGTCCATCAATCGACGTTAAAAAAAAAAGGGGGCGTGCCCCCTAAGCCAAGCTTTTTCCTTTTCCTCCAAAAATCAAAGCATCAAAGCCCCCAAACTCCCCCCCCCCCTTCTTCTTCGCATCAAAACATTTGAACCAAGGGCGCTCCGTTCCCCCCCCCTGAGGCAACGCCCCAGTGGCCAATGATATGAACATGACGGGTTCGAGTCCAGAAGCTCTTTTCGCTTCGATTTTATTTTTAACATTCCCAGTTTCCACTTTGTACGGGGTAATCCTTCATTTTTTTTATTTAATTTTTTTTTGATCCTTACCTCGTCTCTCTTTCCATATTATTTCCACACCTTCATTTTGCATTTTCACCTTTCTCGTTCTCTTCAGGGGGAGAGGATTTTGATAAGTTTGGAACACTTACTCTCCTTTTCCACATCACTGTCACTATTATACATCGGAAACATTATAAATATCAATGACTTTCTTGTGAATCCTCTACCTTGAGTTCACACCTACGGGTATCTCTCCACAAAGTCCCCCGGATTTTGATACCACTTCATTCACGATGAAAGGGGGACTCCGTCTCGCGGGGCTCGGCGTCTCATGTCTCATTCTTTTCTCGTTATATTTACTCGAGGCACATCTACAAGACATTTGCAATCAATATCGCGCTGGCGCATACGTGATTAATTGGTTAGATCGCACTGACACCCCCCTAAGTCCACATGGCGAGATTACACCGGGTGATAAGGTGATTGTGATGGCCAAGCTGGAAGAAGAGCCTACCGAATGGGTGGAACAAGAGCTTCCCGAGTGAGTGCATTTGGATCTCGCACATTCCATGGTGCATCATTAACTGGCTTGCTTTCTCTCAAAAATAGTTGGCAACGAGCAATCTACACCGTCAACCCCTCGCCCGAGACACAACTCAATCCCGACGTTCTGACGACCCAATTCAACAAAGGCCATGAGTCTATGGCCTACCTCACGTATGTAATCGATAACTACTACAACCTTCCCTCAACCATCGTCTTTCTCCATGCCCACCGTTCAGGTTTCCTCATGGCCTGGCATGTCGATGCACCACTCCACGACAACGTTATAGCCATGCGCAACCTCCGACTCGATTTCGTCCAGCAAAATGGCTACGTGAATCTTCGTTGTAATTGGAATCCAGGCTGCAAAAATACCCATCGCTCCAATAGTCATGTCACCGAGGAGGTTTGGTTGGACATATTCGACGGCACGAGTACGCCTCCCTTGAATACGTCCTCCTCCACGGAGCAGGAATTTGCAGGCCAGACGTATCTTCGCAAGCCTGCCGAGATTGGCGCCGCATGCTGCGCACAATTTGCTCTCTCGCGAGATCAGGTACGGAAGCGACCGCTGGAAGATTACATCAAATTCCGGCAATGGATTATCGATACGGAACTTAGCGACGCTTCGTCGGGGAGGGTGATGGAGTTTTTGTGGCATATCATTTTTGGTATGGAAGGGGTATAGTAAGTGATGGTCGATTACATTTTCGTGGTGTTGAGCTAACCGTCTTTCGTAGTTGCCCCAATGAAGAATTATGTTATTGTCAGGTCTACGGACAGTGTTGATTCCGCTCTCGGGGGGAGCATTCGTTCCCATATCCAGCGACACCTCCCAGGCTAGCATCTACACATCGTGGGAAGGATGGGACAGTTTCGTCTCCCTTGCACACACGCGTTTCGTCGTTCTGCGCAAATGATTACTGCGATAGGATAAACGCCTGGAACTCGGTCACCCGTTTCGTTGCATAACACTTGGAGTCTTCGGGGGTCCTTCTTTTGTTTTAAATTTTAAATTGCGTTCAAGCGCTGAGGACAACGTTTCTCACAGACATCCTCCATCACTTTTTGTCGATGGATTTCTGGACAATCAGAGAATGCGAAATGCACATTCTTGCCATTGTCTTTCTCACTATCCACGCATCCATCTCTTTACCATTCCCATTGCTACATGTTCAACCACAATTGTCAAAAGCGACTCCTTTTTCGAGCAACTTTCAGCTGGCTCAAGCATCTGATCATTCAAACGGGATGTTGTTTGGATTCTATCAACAAACTCCTACCAATACGGAGACAGCTCCTGATTACTAGAGACAGTTCAAATGCACTGCTTCAGATACCTAATCATCATTGGCACATCACCAAGACAAGTAACACCAATGTACTCATCAGGCCTGACTACCACCAGTGCGCCCTGTCCCGGGTTTGACACCATAGATACTATACGCACTATCCAAAGCCGACCCATCATAGAAGAAAAATTGAGGAGGGAAGGAGAAACAGACAGGAGCGGAAGGAACAGAGAGGAGGGCAGCTCTGGGCTTTTTCAAGACTTGGGCTTGGCGTACCTATGTCGACGGAGTGCTACAGGTATTGTACAGCATCGGATGAAGAAAAATGATTCATTCAAAATGGCTGAGACCATATATGGAAACAGGAAATTAGGATACACTCGTAACTCATTATTCGGGCCCCAACCCACAACCCCGGATCACAAACCAAGATGATCTCAAGCAAACTTCAAACCACATTTAAAACTTTTTCTCAAAGTACTGCTCAACTCGGTCTATGAGATCTGCTTTCTTCCCTGCTGTAGCCCGGCCATGTGAATGCAAGAATTCCTTCAGCACGACCACCGTAAGCTGAACACGAGTATTAGTTAGGTCAATTGCCTGAGATACTTTGAATACTCACCTTGGAAACAGTGCCCTTCTCATAACATTTTTTCACTTCATGTTCCACTCCAGAGGCGCTGTCTTCAACCTTCACCCGCTTTGATGGGTGCTCACCAGCAGGCTCGCTCTTCGCATCTCGCTTTACCAGCGTAGAAGTGGCTACTGAGCTTCCAAACATCTCAGAGGCTTGCAATTTAAGTTCCTCGGCCCATTTGAGAATGTAATCGCCAGCGCGCTGTGATAGAACATCCATTTGGTCAGTATACTTCTACAATTTCCAAGACCATGGAAGTGACTAACCTTGTGAATCTGTCGGTACTTGGGCACGGTCTTGTCATCCGGTGATTCTGGGAAATCTTCATCCAAGGCAATAGCCTGTAGAATACGATAATGCCATTGAAGCGCTGTGAAATTTGTCAGCATCGTTTTCAGAAAATCGCAGAGATCGAGGCTCACAAGGATTCGGATATTTTGAAGGCTCATATACGGCCTTAGGGAGCTGCAACTGGCGAACGACATCTCGCATGGCGTCATTCAGTGCGTCTCCAGCCCGGTTGACGGTGCTCTCTGGATTTTGGCGTACGTCATCCGCGAATGGAAGAGGGATAATCCACATCCCAGGCGGAATTTTCTGGACACCATTCTCGTCGATCTTTTCAGCCCCGGCAATCATAGCAGCTAGGACTGGTGAGGCGTTTTTGCGGGGGATGAACCAGACCAAAGCCAATTTCTCGGAATCGAGGAGTTTCTGCTGCAATGCAGAAAAAACCCGCGTTGAGCCAATGTAGTTCTCTTCGGAGGGATATATGAACGAGGGGTGTTTGACGTTGGCCCAAATCGGAAGGGCTGACAGTGACTTGAACCCAATGATACGGATCACAGGATCGCCGAAGCTCCTTAGAGCCTGTTGTTCTTCGATGGTGAATGAAATTTGCTCACCGCCAAACTTGTATGCCTTTTGAATATCAGCCTTTTCGATCTCCTGTCCTGTATCGTCGGACATAAGAGTCGTGACACCTTTAGCAATCTGCGCGGTCTCGCCGCCTTGCCAGACGAAGCAACTCCTGGCAGGCTCTTGCTTTTTGAGGAGCAAATATCCATTAACAGATATCGTAAAGTCGGGTCCGATCTCAAGTGGTACATTTGAAAACAGCGACCGGCGGGGGACAGATCTCGAGTTGATGCTGCACAACAGACAGTTGAGCAATGAGAGTCCGTCACCTTTAGCCGTCGATGCATTTGTATCCGGCTGTAGGTATGCCGGGGCATCTCCATCACTGGGCGATGTTTTGTAGATAATGTCCTACCAACCGTAAGTATACTCTTCTACAACCAAGGTTAAAAGCCTACATCGTAGAATTTCGAAGTGTCAAATTCGTGGTCTGGTTGAGAGATGGGAAACAACTCGATATTGACACCAAGATCGTACAAGTCCCTTGCACGAACTGTTGCGGCAGACCGCATTCCCTTATTGTCTGCGTGGGGATTATCGTTGTCGGTCACGACAAACAGTCGTCGAGATGAAAAGTTTGGGGCCTTCGAGGTGAAGATTTGGTTGGCGCAGAATAACATATTGGCCATGGAGACTGGCTCCTTGGATGGTTCCAAGACCTGTCGCACGTCATCATCAGCACCTGCTGGAGATGCGAGGGACCGCAGATGCTTGACTTCCTGGGCTGATGGAACATCAAGATCTGTGTACAGATAACAGTGAGGATACGAAAGATTTCCGCGGTCTTCCTCATTTTCATCATAAAACTTGGAAGATTTCGTTCCATAAAGCAAAACTCCAATCATGTCACGAGGGTTGGAGATGATGCGCTGTTGCATCAGGTGGTATGCACACTTCAAGGCCGCAGACGCGGGTGATTCAGCGCTATGTTTCTTAGGATCAGGCGATGGACGAGGCGTGAGCATCGAACTGCTGATATCGATGGCAAATAACACCGCATCTTTGACTGATTTGAAACTCTATGTAGGCAACCGTCAGCAGTCGGTAACTATATCTCCCAACTTTTGATCCTCACGGTCTCATCGAGCTCTTCGTCCTCGTAACTCTCCTCCTCGAGCGTGTAGCTATCTTCGGCCATAACTATAAAACAGAAATCCTGGGAAGATTGGAAAGATTGAAAGCTTGTAAATCAATCAAGTCCAAAATGTTATTGAGACGCGCTCTTTGACGCGGGCAACACGAAAGTCAGGTGACGCTGATGCCTGAAGCTGCTGACCTTCTCCGATGCTGATTGGTTCACGTCTGGTGGCCGATGGGAGCTACATGGGGCAAATCAAAACCGGTTTCAACAAGTCCGGGGTCCAATTTGGACACACGTTTGAAATTCTCTTTTGCTCACTAATAACTGTATATGTTATTTAGGAGGTTGCTTTTTTACACTTTTTCTATCTACTTAATCCAAATATGGCGTTCCGCAGCCCTTTTGCGATCTCCCGACAGTTATTGACTGGGACTACGTCTCTTGGAGGGAGGTCGGCAATTGGCAGTCGATTGAAATGCAGCCAACGAGGTCTCGCGACAGTGGCACCGCCAGTCACCCAAGATGCGACAGGCTCAAAGGGCCCGACGGCTATGGTTTTTATGAACATGGGTGGACCTTCCACAACGGACGAGGTGGAGGACTTTTTGAGCAGACTATTTGTACGCGTCATGATACACTACAATGGCCACGTTGGATTGAGATGCTAACCTGTGGGTTACAGGCCGACGGTGATTTGATCCCCCTAGGACGGCTCCAATCGTATATCGGCCCCCTCATCGCACGCCGAAGAACCCCGAAGATCCAAAAGCAGTACGCAAGCATCGGCGGCGGGTCGCCCATTCGGAAATGGTCCGAGCACCAGTGCGCCGAAATGTGTAAGCTCTTGGACAAGATCTCCCCGGAGACTGCGCCGCACAAGCCTTACGTTGCCTTCCGCTACGCTGCCCCGTTGACCGAGACCATGTATGAGCAGCTTTTCGCCGACGGATTTGGCAATGGGAAGGGCGGACGTGCTGTCGCATTTACACAATACCCGCAGTACTCCTGTTCGACGACCGGCAGTTCCCTCAATGAATTGTGGAAGTGGCGGAATCGTCTCGAGGGAAAGCGTGCAAATGGAGGGTCCGAGCCGGCTGGCGCAATCCAATGGAGTGTCATTGACCGTTGGCCCTCTCATTCTGGTCTTGTGGAGGCTTTCGCACAAAACATCGAGGCTCAGCTCAAGACGTACCCGGAGGAGAAGCGAGACAAGGTCGTGTTGCTCTTCTCGGCCCACAGTTTGCCTATGAGCGTTGTCAACCGCGGTAGGGTGATGTTCCGTGGCTAGACACCAGAATCGCACTAATTACTCTTTCACACAGGTGATCCCTACCCTGCCGAAGTTGCAGCGACTGTTCATGCCGTAATGCAACGACTCAAGTTCAAAAACCCCTACCGTCTGTGCTGGCAATCCCAGGTGGGACCTAGTGCGTGGCTCGGGGCACAGACCAGTGATACTGTCCAAGAGTATGTGAAACGAGGACAGACTGACTTGATCTTGGTTCCCATTGCGTTTACAAGTGACCACATTGAGACCCTCTACGAGCTGGACCAGGAAGTCATCCATGAAGCCAATAGCCCGGGTGTCAAGCGCGCAGAGAGCTTGAACGGAAGCCCAGTTTTCATCCAGGCTCTTGCCGATATTGCTCGCGACCACTTGCAAAAGGGAGAATTGTGTTCTCGCCAGATGACACTGCGTTGCCAGGGCTGCACCAGCGAGCGGTGCTTGGGCCAGAAGAAATTCTTTGCAGGCCAGGAGCACGCTTCCATGGTTATATAAGCTGACTAAGCTCGGGTTTATATGTCCGGATTAGGAGAGTTCAGCCTTCGATGTATGTATACGGCATTAGAAGGCATTGGAGGCGTTGTTAGAGTACAATATCGTGGCTTAATGTACTGCATTATATATCCCCAATTTTATGCAAGATAATAGGGTATCTGTGATATATTGGAAAGGATAAACCGTCAGAATGACACCTTAACATAACTAAGCACCCAACTCTGTGCGGAGATTCCGGAGCTAACGACTGCCAATGATGACATCCCGATAAGAATTCAGGAAACCTAACCGCAGAAACATAGCCCCCTCTTTCATTAGAGAATGATGTGTCCGTGGCTTTAAATATTACAAATCAATGGTGCAATAATCTTGGAAAATCCCGGGACTATCCACAATGTCTCCAACCTCACCATGGAGAACGAAGAACTCTTTGCAGGGGATGATGTCCCGCCGATGCACCCCCAAGAGACCCGCCGCGTTGAAGATGTGAATGAAAACACGCCTCTCATTCTTGAAACCGATGGGCTATTGCATCGACAGCCTGTAAACCTTACGGATGATCGGCCGAAATGGAGGAGACCGAGTGTGAGTGAGGTTTGCGACATATGCGTCAGGAACAACTGTCTAACATGCAAACATGACAGATTTGGTGGCTGCTCCCATTCGGTCTTCTTTTTACACTGGGCTTTGGTGGAATGGCTGTGCCCAAGATCAATTTAACCTTGTCGCTCATCTGTCGAGACTATCTTGCTGAGAAGACCACCCAAGAACCCGGGTTCACCTATCTACCTGTTATATTTGGCGAGCACAACCCCCAGTGCCAGTTCCCACAAATTCAGTCATTGGTTGCCCAGTTCCAGCTCTATCTGAATCTCATTGCGGGTATTCTGTCAGCATTGGTGAGTCCTCGGTTCGGACACTTATCTGATCGTTACGGGAGGACCAAGATGATCGCGCTGGGCGCGATGGGCGCGGTGCTCAATGAGATAATCACTGTCATTGTGGCTAAATGGCCAGACCGGGTCTCGGTTAATATGCTTCTACTTGGAGCCGTTATGGATGGACTCGGTGGATCATTTACAACTGCGCAGGCTTTGATCCATTCATATGTTTCTGACTGTACGCCAGCCGAAAAGCGAAGCGTGGCATTTGGTCTATTCCATGGTGCTCTGTTCTTTGGAGTTGCAGCTGGGCCTGGCGGTGCGGCATTTTTGATCAAGCATGGGGGCACACTTGTAGTCTTCTACATTGCGCTTGCATTCCATGCAACTTTCTGTCTATCAATCTTCCTCATTGTGCCTGAATCTTTGTCCAAGGATCGACAGCTCGCGGCCCGCGAGAAGCATCGCATAAATAACGTGAATGCTGACTCTCCTAAATGGTGCTCTTGGCGTGTCTGGAACCCAATGAATCTGATCACCCCACTTGCAATTCTGATGCCCGCCGTTGGAAAACCAAGTCTCTTGTTCCCCAACCGCCGCGGTGCCAGTCCGGCTCTACGCCGGAATATTATGCTGTTGGCTGCCATCGACACTGCTGTCTTTGGCGTTGCCCTGGGCACAGTACAGGTTATTATCATCTACGCCGCATACATGTTCAACTGGGGCAGTGTGGAGTCCAGTCTGTTTGTAGCGATCATCAATGTGGTGCGAGTGCTCAATCTATTTCTGGTGCTTCCGCTTGTATCCATGTTCTTCCGCACTCCGTCCAAGGAAGACGGAACCATTCGCGGCTCAGACACGCTGGATATTGTTCTGATCCGCATATCTATAATATTCGATGTGCTGGGCTACATTGGCTATGCTCTGTCCAAAACTCCAGCAGTCATGATAATGTCTGGCATTGTCGCCTCCCTAGGTGGCATGGGATCTGCAATCCTGCAGTCATCTCTGACGAAGCATGTGCCCCATGAACGTATTGGACAGATGCTCGGTGCCACTGGTCTTTTGCATGCTCTTGCTCGAATTGTTGCGCCTTCTGTCTTTAACTTAATTTACAGTTTGACTGTTGCAACATTACCCCAGACAGTATTTGTGGCACTTGCGGCCGTTTTTGGTGGAGCATTCCTCCTGAGTCTGCTCATCAGATCGAATGGTAAGTTTTTTTTTGACCTCCTACTAGAAGCATACTTATTATTGTGCCAGTGACCCTAGAGCCTGCTACCGATCAAAGGGCGGAAGAAGATGCCGACGAGCACGACCAGCCTTTGCTATGATGGACCGGTGGATGGTTCTTCGAAATAATACACTGCATTGCTTATTTGACATGTCTGCTCCATTGGCGTCTTTTCTAGTTTGAACTCCTCTAGAAGATTGTGATAGAAAGGGGATTTTTTTCTACTTTAGGGAACTGTTTTGCAGGTATTGGGGTACTATCAAGGTAGACACAAAACATTTCAAGACACATCGGTAAGACACACACATCTTGATAGTAGCTGTGTGAAGAGCTAAGTGCGGCTCGAACTTATTCGACATCTACCTTACCCTTTTCCACATCTTTTCCAACAAATGTTCAAAGACTTGTGGTTTGGGGACAGGAAGCTATGGAAGATGTATCCGGTTAGATCCAAAGGTCGTATGACCAGGCCAGCCTCCGGTGGGCGGCACCAGCCCAACGCGCAAGTTGATTTGCACCGGAAAAAAGAAGTTGCTCCGAACTTACCCTACGCTCTCAGCTTCGATTGCCTGGACACACCTAATCTTGGATCATATCTGGCGGTCGACGTTATTTAAGTTCAATTTGTTTCAATCATCTCCTCATTTCGGAAAATTGATGCGAGGCCGCTCATGCATGACTGGTGAACTCGCGCGCAACCCGCGCTTAGCATCTTCAACATGCTTGCCCGCGCCGCAAAATCCGGCTCAATAATACCCTCTCCAAATGCCCTCCGAGTGCTCCGCCAATTGGCCCTGGCCGGCTCAACGGTTGGCGGATTCTGCACCGTTGCAGCCCTCACATACGAAGCCCACCGCCGGGTCCGCATCGCCGAGAAAATCATCGAGAACAAACGAACACTACACACCACTGCCCCAAATTATGATGCAACATCTGCTGCTAAAAGACTCAAAGTGATGGTTGAGGCGGCGGAAGCGGGTGAATTCATGGGCATTGAATCCCTCAAGGCGAGGAATCGGAACGTACCTGATGGGCCAGATGAGCCAGGGTTCGAGACAGAAAAATATGATCCAAAGCCCAAGCCTAAACCCCTGGTCAGCTTGGAAAAACACCATGCTCGATCAAAGCGATCACTCTTTGGGACCCACCCACTTGCACAATCCAACTACACGGGAAACATCGATCCTCCAAGCTTAGCCCAGAACGCTGAAATTCTGGCTCGTGAGAAACAGCAGGGTGAGCTCGCACGAGAATCTGGCAAGCTGCCCTTTGACGCCGAAATCCGCAGGTTGTTAAATCAAGAACGGGAAATCACTGCTGCAAATTTGTTCTTAGCCTATACTCGGCAAACACCCAGCATTTCTTGGGAACGCAGAGAGCTTGCATGTATTATTTTTACTGCAAATTGCATGAAAGGGAACCTGTTCGTTGCTCGAACGTTGTTCAATCGCATGGACAAAGTCAGTGTCGTCTCGGGGGAGATGTGGGCTACACTGATGCATCTGCTTGCAAAAGAGGGCCACATCGACTCTGTCGGCGTTATATATGATAAATTCAAAACCAGCTTTGTTGTTCCAAACCATCTGTTGGAGGTTATCCTCCGATGTCTGATCGAGTCCAAACGGTTGGACTCCGCCAAATACCTCTTCTTCCAGCGCTTCGAGGATGACCGCGACTGTGGCCTGTGTGGTGCTTATCTTGATGGATTATGGAGGAAAACTAGGAGCATGGAATTGCTGTCTTCCCAACTTGGCCTCATTCTCAAACGTCTCGAATCACTCGATCGGAAACCAACTGAGAAACTTTTCAACCCAATGGTCAAGGCCATGGTTGAAACTGGTCGAGCCGAGGAAGCCGAAGCTATGGTCAAGGCGATGTCAACACGTTATGGGACTGAACCTGGATGCCGGACCATTGGCTTGATTATCTATAACAGAGCACTTAACTGTGAATGGGACAGGGTCATGGATGGCATGCATGCGATGCACGAGCACGGATACACCCAATCGAAGAAAGATTTCACTATGATTTTCGACCGGGTCTTCTTGGAATACTATCCTACCCACACGGGCCAGCAAATCCTCGACTTCGTCATCTCTTGTATCAACGATTTTGACATACAACCCGACAAGGTACTCCATCGACACATTCTCGAAGCAATCATTGAAAAGGGCAACGAGGAGATGATCACAACCATTATGGACATGGCCCACGATCAGAATTGGAATACCGGCATCGACGATCGGTTCATCAAATCACTCGTGAAGAGCCGAAAACTCGCAATGACCGACAACCCTGTGGGAATCTGGCGACTAAAGCAAGCCGCAAAGAATCGACAAGATCACTTAACTTCTTCCCGACGCATTCTTGGGACTAGTTCTGAAACTTGGGCAGTACGAGGAGATAAAATAGCCCCTATTCACATTCCCGCCGAGGAATCTTTCCCTCGAACGGTGAGCGAGATGGTAGCCTCCAAAACTGCCAGTCTATATGTTCCACTCCACAAGCGGATGGAGCACTTTATCAACATGGGCAGACACACCGATGCTCTGGCAATCTACAATCACGCGACCACTGGAGGTTACGTTGTCAGACCACTTCATTTGAAGCTGGCTGTGATCGCCGCGATTCTCAGCTGCAAAAAGACAGGCTTGATAAACGCGCGACGTCTGATTACATCCGAATGGGACTACTGGAAGAATGTTCCCTCTCTCCGTTACAGCAAGCGGTTCACTTCGTGGATTCCCATATTCTTCCAACGGGTCATGGAAGTGGATCCAGAAGCCATTGGGTATGGAGGCTTGATCAAGATGGCCATATTTGAATATTATGACATTTGCGCCAACACCAATGGTCTTTTGGTGAAGCACTTCTGCGCGACTTCCACTAGCCGTTACCTCGTTGGAGGTGGAGCGCCAGAACTTGCCGTCGATCTTCTCACAACCATCTACCAATCTCGGTGGCGGCTCTCTCATGGATTCGACCAGGTACTACTGAAGATGCTATTGCGCGCGTTTGCCAAGGTCCACAACTTGAAGGGAGTCTGGTGGTGCATAATGACAGTCCTCTCGCGGAGTGAGCCCATCAACCAAGACTTTGTTGTGGAAGCCACCTCTCAGTTGAGTTCGTTGGAAATTGTGATCAGATCCTCCGGCTCCTACGATGCCGCGGGACAAGTTTTGGTACTCCGGCAAATCGTGGGGGCACTGGAGGCCAAGTTTGAAGGTGATTCGCACTGGTCAGCCATCAACGTGCATCCAGAGTTGAAAAGGTCGAAGCGTTCCAAGCCATTCAAACTCACCGAGCCAAAACATTTACTTCCCACCACAGACCTAGGGGAACTCATCATGAACTTTGATGAAGAGTGGGAGTTGGATCTGTTGCTCAGGCGCAAGCAGTTCGATGCCCCTGATCATACAAAGTGGTGGTCTGAGTCCAATGTCTCAAATTTGCACACTGTCCCTTCGGAGGATCCCGAATACCCGTGGAACAATCCAGCGAATTGGGGTGCGCATTATGTGCCCGAGAAGTACTCGTCTGACTATCACCTTGAGTTTTCACCTGGAGGGGATTACGCGGAGTATATGGAGTATGAGGATTATCAGGGGCATCGGGTGTCTCAGTGAATATGTTTAATATAAATAGTTCTATGTACAATAGCCATCTTCAATAGGTTAGATGTTGATATACCTGTACAATCCACGGATGTTGTATATCCATATCAGTCCACTTTAAAGATAAACGGCGTGATGTCCCCTTCTGCGTAGAATTGAGAAGGCGGAGAGAGGTGACCATTTCACATGTCACGCCACCCCCTTCTCTCCGCCAAAGGAAAAAAAAAACATCAGCCCATGAACACAAGCCAATCGATTTCCATTTAAATCAATTGCTCCGGCAGGTAATGGTCCTGCTTCCGTCATCTCTGTTCTGACAATTCCTTTTCTTTCAGACCCAAAAATGGCCTCCGCGTTCAATGACAATGCTTCTCTCTCCGCGGCAACTGAACGCCGCATCGACCACCACGAAGCTGATGTTGTAATTGTGGGTGCCGGAGTTCTTGGTTGTGCCCTTGCAGTCGCAATGGGGAATCAAGGACGCAGTGTTATCCTGCTGGAAAAGTCGATGGAGGAGCCCGATCGCATTGTTGGTGAACTACTCCAACCGGGTGGTGTTCAGGCGCTGGAGAAACTAGGCCTACAGGACTGTCTGGAAGACATTGATGGCATTGACGTGAAGGGATACTGGATTTCTTACACTGGCGACCCGGTTCTCCTCGAATACCCCAAGTCCTCTCCAACTTCACCTACACCATTGGGACGAGCCTTCCATCATGGTCGATTCGTGATGAAACTACGGGCAGCCGCTCTGTCCTGTCCCAATGTCACAGTGGTCGAAACCAAGGTGACTGACCTTATCATATCGGCACATACCCAAGAAGTCCAAGGAGTCGAGTGTGTGACCAAGGACGCCAAGGATTGCTACTTTGGCCAACTCACCGTGGCCGCCGACGGCTACAACTCAGAATTCCGCAAGCAACACCACCAGTACACACCCAAACGCAAATCAAAGTTCTATGGCTTGGAGCTCATTGATGCTAAGCTCCCCGCACCCAACACTGGTCACGTTCTCCTCAGCGATCACCCACCTGTGCTCATGTATCAGATCGGCACCCACGAGACCCGAATCCTTATTGATATCCCCGATAACCTGCCTCTGGCCTCAGTGAAGAATGGAGGCGTCAAGGGGTACATGCGAAATAATATCCTGCCTCAGCTCCCAGAGGGTGCCCAGCAGTCCTTCGCCGATGCTCTAGAGCGGGGCCAGTTACGATCAATGCCGAACTCGTTCCTGCCTGCTTCGGTCAATAATACACCTGGGCTGATGATTCTGGGAGATGCGCTCAACATGCGGCACCCTCTCACGGGTGGAGGCATGACGGTGGCCCTTAACGACGTCTGCCTTATCCGTGAGTTGCTCAGTCCAGAGCGCGTGCCCAGCCTCTCCAATACAGGTCTTGTTCTCGAACAGCTGGCGGAATTCCACTGGAGACGGAAGAATTCTTCTTCGGTCATCAATATCCTCGCACAGGCTCTTTATGCGCTCTTCGCTGCAGACAGTATGTACGCTCGCTCTTTGATTTATTCCCGATAACTAACTCTTTATCTATAGATGAACACCTCAAGGCTCTTCGACGTGGCTGTTTCAGGTACTTCCAGATTGGGCCAGTTAGCGGCCCCGTTGGGCTGTTGGCCGGTCTGATCAAGAAACCCCTCATCCTCGTCAGCCACTTCTTCTCCGTCGCCTTCCTTTCTATTTGGGTTCTCATCTGCGATACTCCTCTGTCCAAGCTACCCCTGGCTCCATACTACGCTTTCATGATATTATACACAGCCTCCGTCGTGATTCTGCCATACATCTGGACCGAGATTTGGTACTGATCTAGCTTGTGTTGATCAATTGGCGTTCTACTCTCCCTCCAAAAGCGACAATAGAGGGGCCCAGCTTGTCATTTTCGATTCTCTCCCTGTTGAACATTATCGTCGATTCTACCGGCCAAGTCTTTCTGTTTTAATATCCCATCTACGCCCTGTTTTTTGTCTTCCCCACGCCTTTATGTGATTTAACCCTGTCCAGCATTCTCCAACTTCATCTGTGTATCACAGATGTACTGTACTATATACTATACTATATGCCATACTATTATCTCCATGACAAATGATGCAATGTGAATATATTCCAAATAACATTCCAAGAATCAACGCTTCATCCCGGCCAATGCTACAAAAGTATGCCCCCAAAGAAAAACAAATGACCATCAGAACAATTCAACGCAAAGCTGATAAGCCAACACCCCCAAGCAAAAAGTAAACGAAAACGCAAAGAAGTTCGGCGCAATCGGCATCGGGGCCGTCACACGAGCAAGCCAAGGCAAACTACCAACCCCCGGCAGCTGGAAGCTCGAATTCGACCAATTCCAATTCCAATTCCAATTCAGCGACAAAAGAGACATGACGGCACCGACTGATCGAATGGCGCAGTTGTGGACAAAAGATACACTAGAATAGATCTCGCAGATTGCAGTGTAGGCGAAGAAAAAGCAATAATACAAATACAGCATGAGTGAAAGGAATGTCATCCACATCTTGTCTCTTTTTTGGGGGGAGATTAGAGTAGTTGTTGTATTGATATACCCTCTTGGTCTGTATATATTATGCTGGGTGTGTATGTTGATTCTTTGTGGGCCCTCGTGGTTTGTCGTGTTAGATTGAGGAAGTGGATGGGCTTTTGATCGGGGTTGGTCTTGGTAGGTAAAGGTAGGCGGGAGAGGATGAGGATGAACACGATGAAGAGAGAGAAAGAAAGAGAGAGGGAGAGAGAGAGAGCGTTGATTTGAGAACTGAGACAAGTTCTTCCCTTTGTTCTCCAAGTCTTTGTAGTTTGAAGCCCGGTTTACCACTTAGGGCATGGGTACTCTGTTGACTCACAACAGGCTAAGATAGACGAAACGAGTTAGAATTTGGGAAAGCAGAAGCATCAAAGACGATGCAACCCAAGTTGCAACAGATCTCACGACCTTGAGCGGGATAAGGAACACCATTTTTCGAAAATTTTGGTTTGTTTCTCATTGGCAACAAGTTAATATCTTTCTCTTTTGTACAGAACCAGGACCGAAAAAAAAGAAAAAAAAGTTGGCATAAGAAAGATGAAAAGCATCAGACACAGAACCGGTCGAACCATTTGAAACACAAAGAACTCCAAACAACTGGAAAGAAATCGTCTCAATGCATTGGAGGCGTTTCCTGGAAAATGAGCCAGCCAACTTTCCCGATGGCAACGAATGCATGCATATATGGATCCTGATCCCTCGGGGGGGAAAGGGGAAATAAGAAAAAAAAAACAAAGAGAAAAACAACGCATTTCAGAGGAACATGAGTTCGTTTGAGGGGGGGGGGTACCGCGTGGACAGGGATTTGGAGGCAATGGAATCAAGTAGGAGACTTGAGTATCTACTCAACCCACATGTGCTGGATATGGTTTCGGAAGAGCAACGACACACACTTTTCATCAGCCGCCTTTTCGCAAAGAATCATCTGCTGGAACTAGCTCAAGGCTGCCGTTGATACCGTTTCGAGATTCCATCGAAGATTTGATGTTCTTGCGGTTCTTCTTCTTCGTCATCTGCCATCCATGGTTGCTATCATTCGTGCTGTTAGGCTGTACACCAGATCTTCGGGATATGTCTGTGTGTCGATCTTTGGTGCCAGAAGCAGTGTTGTGAGAGCCGTCGTGTCGGGCTTGGCCTTTGGGCTTGCTCTTGCCATTCACACCGTTTGCCTTTTCAGAATGCTCTCCATTGGTCCGACGTTTCGAGTTGGTCGACTGATTCCGATTCTCATTCGGTCCGGACACAGCAGGTTTCTCGCTCATCTGCCCCGAGTGCTTAGGCTGGCCGGTTTCCTTTCCTGTTCCTTGTGTGGGGCCGTTTCTTGGTCGATCCGGACTTGTCTTCGCAGGTTGCTGTACAAGCTTCTCGGAATTCGATAGGTGGTAGTTCTGCAGCCGACTAGCGAGAAGCTCGGATTGGTCATTCACGTCTGACTGCTTTTCTCCAACCACATCATTGACCTTTTGCGTTTCTGTAAATGGCCGAGTGAAGACAGCCGAATGCTCCAAATCGAAAGACCCGGACTCCTGATAATCTTGAGACAAGGAGTCGGAGAAACTTGCAGGCGTATTCATGTTGTGGTCATCCGATGACGTATAATGACTTGCCGCAGAGTAAGGGTCAATCAACTCAGGCGCATATGTCGAGCGGGGTTCACTCGGACGCACCGATCCATCGACGATCAATGGACCGGGTGCAACTGGGCGTGGGGCGCATTGAGCCGGCTGCAACGGGGGCTTGGAAATCGGAGTGTGCTCCGAGCGAGCCGTTTCTGATGAGAACGATCCCGGTCGGTAATCCGGATGAAGGGGAATAAATGAATATCCATTCGAGACCAGACCCATCTGTGCGGACAATGGCGGCAACATGGAACCTTGCTGGAAGGCTTGAAGTTGTTGAGGAGTTATATAATAGCCCAACACATCTTGCTGCCGGTTGTCATCCACAGAGATTGAGTGTGATCCATTGCTGGCCAGACTATCTGAGCGCATTGCATTCTCGCCACAACTGCCTTCTCCGCCTTCTGACGCTTCGGTAGTCGGCCTTTGTTTTGACCAGTTCTCTGTGGGTGGAGGCATGGTGTAAAGGGGGATATAGCTGGGAAGAGAGGGCGAGCCCTGAGGCCGTGCAGGTTGTGAATGCGCACGAAGAGACTTCGGGGATCCATTGGCAGCCGACAATCGCCGAGAGTTACGACGAGTGTCAGGCATTACACCAACAGCAGAAGGCGAGGGAGGGTTGGTAATGGCCGCTTGCAAGCCAGATGCACCAACTGAGGCATACGTAGGATTATAAATTGTCTGCTGTCGTTGAGTTGGGCTGAGAGTAGCATGGCTTGCTGTTCCTGTTCCGGCTCCCGGTCGTGAGATTTCCTCTGGAAACTCTTGTTGTTGAGGAACTGGAAATTGGATAAATGGCTGGCGGATGAATACCGGTGGTGGTCTCCCAGTGATCAATGCCTGGCTATGCAACTGCATCCGCAATTCTTGCTCCTGCGCCTGCAAAAGCTGGATTTGTTGGTACAACTGGTCATGTAAAAGGTACTGGGCTTGTTGTTGTGCATGCAGAGAGATATCTGATGCATTGCCAGTGTTCTGCTGCCGGAAATTCGACTTGTTTGCGGTATTTGATTGTCGTCGCCCGCCAGTAAGCCCACCTCGCGAGAACTGATTATTATATCTGCCGCCACGACTTCCTCCTCGTCCACCCCGCGATGGGAGGGAAGGTGTGAGAGTTGGCCGCGGTTGGGGTGGTGGTCGTTCCCAGGTCCGCTCCTCTTCTACCGGGAACTCAAACTGCTGACAACACCCTTCTAGATCACCGTTTGCGATGTACTTGAAAGCCCTTCTCAATTCCAAATGTAATCCCCGGAATGAAGTGTCATCGGCGGTGTTGCCTAGGTTTCTTGACGTGTTGAACGGCTCCTCCACGCACAGTCGGTTGTTCAACATTAGGTGCCAGCCCTTGGCCTCTTTGTTGATCAGGGTGCCGTCCCGTACTGAGATGACGTTCTTCTCATAGTCAAATTCGTAGCCATAGTACCGGAAAAAATGAAAGAGCAGCCCGCCAACTGATTGCTTGTTCTTGCGGCCAAATTGAGACAAGGTCTTGAGGTCGTCATCGAACGAGCAGACCAATCCATCGGGAGTCATCCTCTTCTTGTGCGGGCGTGCTTGCAGACTTGGGAGAATTGGAGGGTTTCTTGTCTGCAGGAAATTAATGATCAAACAGATCCAGGTGTAAGAACTTAGGGTTCCCCCAAGCGCTGCATCATTGAGAATTCTTTGCTTTGTCCAGTGCTTGATAGCCATTGCCAAAGGGCGCACTCTTTCATCCACCTCAACATAGGTCCGAATCATCCGAGTGTTTTCTAGCGCCAAGGTATTATTGACATTCATGTCACAAGCTAACCGGAGCTCCGGGTCCCAAATCTTCACGATAGGGACCTTTGCATGCGACACACACACCACCCGTTGCATCCCGTCTGTTCAAATCAGTCTACCATTCAAGCAAGTCACATCAACGGCGATTCCTTACATTTAGCCAACACCTCAGCCAACAGGCACACATGCTCCAACTCTTTGTAGTTGGTTGTAATGCAAATGTCCACTGCTCAAGTTAGTGTTTGTTTTGCTTGTTTATTTGTGCCCAAAAAGAGAAACCTACCATCCGAGTCACTAGAACAGAGCTTATTCCCGGACGAGCCAAAAATGTTCGCCTTAATATCATGACCAGGCCATTGGTCATTGAAAAGCTTCTCCAATTTCCGAACAAGCTGTCGTCGTCGATCATCACTCTCGGCAGATGGTAATAATCGATCATACAGATCCATGATCTCGGTCGACAGTTTTTTCTCCTCGTCCTGGCTGGGCTGTTCCTTCAATGCCCCCTTCTCCTCTGGTAGTACATCTGCACCTAGACTATACGGTACCCGTCGTCGAAAATATGCCATGGCGGTCTCATATTTACATCCTCCGAGCGGTTTCCGAGAGAACGGGGGTAGATGTGTAGCTTCGGAGTGGGTGGATCGAGGGGAGGTGCTTCCGCGGGCGGGGGACGGCGACCGGGAGTGGAACGATAGATTGCGCGCATGTTGGTATGGGGTGGAAGGAAGGGAATTAGACTGGTGCGAAGTCAACGGAGGCCGATCAGCGGTCTCGGGCACGTCAGATTGTGGCACATCGGATTGCGGCCTCCATGCCATCGTGGAGGACTGCGCCGACGCTAGCGAGGCGACGTCACGGTGGAGGGAACACTTCGCATTCCCATCGA